AAAAACAACATTATAATTAATTTTACATTAAAAATATAATATCGAACAATTATTATAAATCAAATATTTTAATCAAAATTCAAATCGAAACTCGAATTTAAAATCCAAACTCCATGAATAAAGAAATACACAATATTTTTCTTATAGAATATCACATATGACTGCTTAAAAAACCTTTTCGATTATTGCAACTAAAAAAAATAAAAAATAAAAAATAAAAATCAAATAAAGGAAAGATAAAGGAAATCCATTAATATTTGTTTTATAACCCTAATATTGGGCCTTAGCCCATTCTTCACGGTGATTCAATTACTAAAGGCATAATGGGTTTGAGTGTATTCACTCAATCATTTTTTATTTAATGATTTTTTATAAATATTATTAAAAAATAAAAGGTAAATTATTTTTTTAATCCCGTATAACCTTCTTTATTATTTTAGAACTTTAAGTGAACCTAATCTGAAAATAATCTCATAAATAAAAGAAAATTCGCTAAAATGGTCCTCCGATGCCGGACTCGCCACGCTGGCAGCCGTTGCTGACGCAACTGATATATCATCTTTACATATATGCCACGTCGAAGGACCATTTTAGCAATCGAAGGATGTCATATACGAGATTAAAAAAACAATAATTTACCGAGAGAAATTGTAAAATAATTTTTTTTAAAAAAATAAAAATAAATCCACGTGTCGCTGACGGTGGCATCTACGTGACAGCCGCATCAGCGCCACATCAGCAACGGCGGGCCAGCGTGGCGAGTCTAGCACCATATGATCATTTCAGCGAAAATTTTTTATTCACGGGACTATTTTTGAACATGATCCACTTAAAGTTCTAAAATTATAAAATGATCAGACAATGGACTAAAAAAAATAATTTTCTCAAAAATAAAATATAAATATGTTAATACAATATATATAATATGTATTTTATTTACTGATTTTAAAAAAAATTTAATAATTCAATTTAAAATAATACTTTTTAATTTGATATTTTTGAAAAGAAAAAAAATTGGAGGTAAAAGTCCTACAAGTAAACAAACCCATTGGGTTTACCATGCATGGATTTAAAAAAGATCATATTGAGTACCTATTATTCATATATTGTATCTAAAAAAAATACCATTTTCGTCGTTTAAATTTATGTTTATTTAACTGTGTACGAATTTTAAAAAAATATATACATATGTAAAAATAATACTCCCTCCGTCAAGCTAGAAAGTATACATATTTCTATTTTGGGACGTCTAATTACAAAGTAATCATTTCATTAAATATCCAATTTTTTCCACAAATACCCCTACTTTACATCACATCATTACTTTTATACAAAAAAAAGTAAGGGCAAAAATGTCATTTTACTACTTTTACCTACACACTATAATTAAAATACTATTATTCTTTAATCTCCGCGGTAAAAATAAATGTATACTTTTAGCTTGGACGAAAAGAGTACTTTTTTTTGTTATACTAAAAAATAAAAAAATAATATTTTCTTATGACGATGAAAAATATATATATATATATACATAAATTTTGATGACAAATAAAATATAAAAAATTGGAAAAAATGTGAAGTAACTAATGATAGGAAAACTGAGAATTTATGATGACAATTTTGAACAAAGTAGCAAATCATTATAATATTAATTTGATAGAATTATACAAAATCATTTTTTTTTTCAAATTTGTAGGTTTTCGAAAGGATTTCATATATAGTGGAATAAGAAATAAGAACGTTAATTTTGTAGTATTTATTTGTCACATATATATATAGTGAATTACCAATTTTATTGTGTTATTTATACAATTTTATTTATTTATTTTGATAACATGATAATCCGCAACTGCTACTCGAAAATGCATACAGAGTAAACTCTCGATCGAATTTAATACCCTGCAAACTAGGCTCGACAAGGCAAGTCCCATTAGGCAATTTAGATTATTTTATTTATTATTTTTTTTTTTGGATGACGTGGAAACCAGCAGCTGCTACCCGAAAGTACACACCGGATAAATATTGTTATTTTCTGAAATATTTTTAAAAATGAAATTAATTCAAATTTTTATATATTTATTCATTTTTTTAATTAGGAAATATATATTTATTTTTATTTTTTTATAAAATTAATTTATGTTAACCGTGTATAAATATATGTATATATATTTTTAAGATATAATATTTATATCTTATAGGAGATGATCCATTTGTTCTTGACATAATTATTTAGGTAGTCTAGATTAGCAAGTATTTATTAATAAGTTATTGATATTATTTTATATAAGTGGTGTTGTTGGTATTTTAAAAATATAAATTAATATATATGATTAAAAAAAATTTAAATATGTGTGTTTAAATATTTTTAGCATTATATTTTAATAAAATATTATATATCATTTTGTAGACAATAGAATTCTATATACTATAAATAAATAAATAAATATATAAATATTTATTTATAATTAAATTAAATTAGTTTTATAAAAAATTGTTTAGTTGTGATTTGATATTGATTTGAAATTCAATGCTTTGAATTTTTATTTAAATAGTATTTTTTAATATAATATTTTGTGAAAAAATAAAATATATTCATTAAAAACGGTGGAAGTGAATAACATTTTTTTTATTTAAAATGTTAAAAGAACAATCATAAATTGCTTTGTTCTTTTACTTAAAATTTTTCAATATAAAAAATATTGATATAGTACACACTTATTATTTATATATTATCTACACAGTTTCGTATGTCTCGTATATAAAATATTATATTCAAATTAAAACACAAAACAAATACATTTACTTGATATATATTTTAAATTTTGAATCTAATTGTAATACTCCTTCTTTCTACAAATTAATGTCCTATTTTGGACGTCCAACAACTATTGTCCTATTTCTTTTTTCAAACACAAATTATACATTTTTATCCATCCATTCATTTATTACTTTTAATCTCTACCATACAATTAAGGACAAATTTGTCAATTCATAACAAAAAGACAATCACCTAAAAAATCGTGCAAATATACTTTAGAACAATAGAAATTTGACGGAATAAGTACTATTTTTAATGTGATATTCCTACTTTTTTTTTTTTTTTTCAAAATCATAAATAGGAGTAATAAAGAATGAAAATGTTTAAAAAATATTTCCTGTAAAGTTTTCATTTGGAGTTAGGATTTTAAATTTGAATTTCCAATATTGAAAATTTAAATTTAAATAATTATAAAAATATAATATAAGATATTAATATAATATTTTAAATTAAATAATAATTTTTGAATACAATATAAAAAATAAATATTTGGTACAGTACTTTTGATTTAAAAAGAAAAAATTCTTTAAAATCTTTCAAATAAAAACATTTAAATTTTGTTAGATATAAGTAATAATAATATACTCTGAGTTTTTATTTTAAAATATTTACAACAAATCATTGTTACACAAAGATGTGTTCTTGGAAAATGTGTTTTTTTTTTAAATATATATATATATATATATTAGATATGTTTATTAACTTTATATTATTTACAAATTTTTTTATAATTAACATAAAAAATGGGAAAAAATTGTAATAAATATTTTATATCTACGACCATTTATCATTTTTATCGTTTAATTATCACGTTTACAAAAATATATTTTACAAGTGTCATTTTTTCGCAATTTTGATATTTTGGTCATGCGTCAAGTTCATGACGGATAAAATCTCATGCGAAAGGATAAAAAATCGCGAAAAGATGACACATTAAAATATATTATTTTCGTCCCATAACAAGATATTCAGTTACTATTTGTGTTATTGTACTTATATTAAAAATATTTTTATATTTGTACAAATATCATTATATTAGTATTATAGCACAATAATAGAAACATTTTTGTAATTTTCCCTTAATTTGTAATACGTTTTGATATAATAATTAATATTTAAAGATGAACATGCAAAAAGTAAATACATACTTAATTACGGAACTAATGGAGTATTTTAATTGTTATAATGACAAAATACATCTAACATGTATAATTTTTTTGTGATTTTTGTGATTTAGTCGCGCGTCCAATTCAAAATAATGTCGGTACGAATGGAATAGTGCCACGAAAAACAAAAATTGCAAAAAAATAATTTTTGTAAACATATTTGCCAAGATGACATAACGAATCATAGGTATTTAAAACATTTATTGCAATTTTCTCTAAAAGGTATATCTTCCAACCGGAGATGATTAGATGCTGAAATATTGATTTTTTCCATCAGTACGCATTATATATACAAACAGTATACATTAGTATTACACACAACACATGTTATGTATAGTAAAGATATGTGCTGTTTTTTAATAATAACAAATGTGCTCTATACAAATATGTTATGCGCTAAAATCAATTGTTGTGTGTTGTATGTGATTATATCATATGTTGTTAGTTTATGCATTTGTATTATATTAACATATACAATGTGTCTATAGTAATATTGTATGCTGTCTATAGTAATACTTTGTACTGTCTGTAGTAATATTGTATTCTATTGAGACTAGAAAATGTGTGTTTTATTCATGTGATATATATGTATTATATTAATATATATATTATATTATTTATAATAATATTATATATTATCTAATAATACAAATATATTATTTAGTTAGTACTGAATTTTAAATTCACCGCTTCCAACTATTTTACTAAACAAACAACTACATACTCAAACCAAACGAACCGTCGTATGTTTAACGGTTACACCTTTTTAAAAATTCAAAACACAACCGGCAAATTCTTCCCCTGCACTGGCGCCACTGTTCTGACTTCTGATAGCCGTCAACGCCATATAAAAGTCAAACTCTGTTTTCTGATTCTGATCGTGACAATCTGGTACTAGTAATAATGACTCGACAAAATAATTTTAATAAAAAAAAAAAATATATTTTCTTGCACCATAAAATATACACTAAATAAAATAAAATATATATATATATATATAGAGACAGAGAGAGAGAGCACCGCACCGAAACCTCACTCTATTCGCTTCAGTCGGTTTCGCACCGCTTCCGCCGATTGTTTTTCCTCTCCAGATTTCTCCATTTATTTCTTATCTTACTTTCATCGCCAAATCCGAGTTTCTAATTGTCGTCTCGGGCGTTCAGGCAGCGTCAATTGCTTGTTGGATTTTGAATCTGTAAGTTCTCAGGCTTGTGGCATGCACCGCTGGTTTTTTAAAATTTTTAATCGATTTATGTTTTTTGGCGATTTTATCGCGGTTTTGTGTAGAACCCTAGTTTGGCGTTGAATTTTGGTTTACTTGTAGGTTTTTTGTTTTTGACTTGGCTAGGAAATGTCGAGTTTAGTGGAGCGACTGCGTGCTAGGTCGGATCGGAGGCCTGTTTACAATTTGGATGATTCGGACGACGAGGGGGACTTTCCGAAGAAGAAGCCTGGGGCGGGCGATTCTTTTGAATTTGAGAAAATTGAACGGCCTGATGCGGTAATGGCTTCGTCGCTTGTTGTGGCTTAACATTTTCCCTTTCGTTGAATGTGTTTAGTAATCTGTAGGCATACTTTTTCTGATTCATGGTTTGTGCTCGGATGTTGCTTGTTTTCTTGTTTATCGTTCGTCATTCTTAAAAGAAAGTAATTTGGTTGCGTGTGGTTGTATTCTGTCGCTGTCTGTGGATCCATCTATGTTGGTGCTCAGACATGTACACCTGCTATGATTGTGTGTAGGTGTAAGCTTGACTCTGTATTTTTGGAAGTTTCGAAAGGTAGTAGGTCTTGGCGTTTGATCAGATTTTTAGCTGGATTTGTTTTATTAATTGGGTTGATGATATACTGATACACTGATAAGTATTTCCGAACCATGCTGAAGGAACTGATTTTTGAGATGTCAGTGATGGGATTGATACAAACTGGTGTGCTTTATTGGTGGTGTAAACTTTGATGTCTGTTGCTCATTCTGTCTGACATCCTTTTCAGTTAAAGAGGCTTCTTTTCCTGTTTTTTTGGCAGGATGTGATAACGTGGCTATTTGTTGTTTATTACTCTATGTGGAAAGCGAGATGGTTTTGATGTTTATGTGATTGATTTGGATTCTTTATTGGGATGATGAATAAGGATATGCTAAATTATATTAGTTCATTATGGTCATAATTCTTCTAAATTTACAAAAATCATATTTCCATGCAATGCTGCTTGAAAAAAAAAATTTTTTTGAGCACGTAATGCGGTTTAGAAAGTCCACGTCACACTTTTGGGATAGGGCTTAGACAATATGCTGTGGTGCTTATAAATTCGATTAGGTTTAAATAGCTTCCATTTTGTAAGTGCAATGTTCTATATCCTGTCTTATGAATGCAGTCATGAATACTAAAGAAGTGAAATAGTTGCCACTTTCCATGAATGCAGGTAAGGTATTCGTAACTACCTCCACACCCATATAATAGCTTATCAATGAAGTTCTAGAGCTGAATTATTACTTTCTATTTAGATCATTATTCTGACCGACACACTTGAAGGGCCTTGTTATGATGCACTCACGGCTTTCAGATTGGGACCCACTAGAATAAATACTTGGAACATTTCCTTTCGATGATATTAACTTTAGTTTGGATGATGAGAGTATAAAAGATTCACGGACATTTAATGCTAGCATGAATCTTGTGTGAAAGAATATGTTTTTGTAAGAGTAAATATGACAAATGTGACATTCCTATGTTTCTTGTTATTTGAATGGGTGTTTAGATGTAATACTTGTATAAGAAGATTTATGCTCTTAAGCATTTATTACCATGAAATTTCTGGTATCCAAACGTAGCTTATTTCTTCAAGACGTACATGTAGAAGCCAAAGCTTTTGTGAACCAGCAACGTTTTATTTATTTTATTAATTAATCCATTTATTTTTACCTTCTCATTTTATTTTTTATTGGCTATTAACTAAGTAACTCAGACAACTGAGTTCTGCGAATCTAATATTTTATTTTGAGTCTTTAAATTGATCACAGAAACAAATTTAAAATCCTTTTGCAAACTCCATGAATTACAGATCTTCTTGTAGATCCAAAAACATCTGCTGGATTTCTAGTGGGATTCTTATAGATATAGCATATTATGATAGCCTTCTAATTTCTTTATAGCTGAAAATAGTACTTTCTCTGCCTTTAAGGATTCACAAGATTTGTAACTTAATAAGTGCGAATGTGGTGTATGTAACAGAAGGAAGGATCATGCCAAGCCTGTGGAGAAAGTGGCGATCTTTTGAATTGTGAGACTTGTAATTATTCATACCATCCCAAGTGCTTACTTCCAGCAATGAGAGGTCCTCCCCCCAGCTCTTGGAAATGTCCAGCATGTGTATGTTTCTTCAGCACTCCTAATTAATAACTGAAGATCAGTGAATGTGATTTGTGTTTAATCCTATTGCTTTGTTGATGTGCTATAACAGGTTGGCTACTTGAATGAAATTGAAAAGATACTGGACTGTGAGTTACGTCCCTGTGCTACAGATGAAGCTGATGCATCTGGATCAGGCTCGACTCAAGCTTTAACGAAACAATATTTAGTTAAATGGAAAGGACTATCTTACCTCCACTGTACATGGTAATGTGGCCTTTGTTACGCTTTCTTATCTAGTCTTTTGATTGAATGCATTATCTAATGACATCTGTCACCTTTTCTAGAGAAGCTGTTTTTCTTTTTTTTTTTCCCTTTACTTATTTCATGTAACTTAAAACTGCATCGTTGTTTGCTGGCTTGTTGATTGGTGGAATCTTTACATTTCAAATAAGGTCTAGTTTGTAATTGAGTTTTGCCGAGTTATGTGCAAAATTTTCAGTGGCATTGTTTTTTCTGTTTAATAGTTACATCTTTTCTCCCATGATCTCAGTGTGCTCTATATTATGGATTTTGTTTCAGGATCCCCGAGGCGGAGTTTGTTAAGGCATACAAGTCAAATCCTCGTTTGAGAACAAAAGTAAACAATTTTCACACCAAATTTTCGTCGTTAAATAACCACGAGGATGAATATGTCCCTATTCGGCCAGATTGGACTACAGTGGACCGGATCATTGCCTGCAGGTTTAACTGTGTTCTTTTCACTTTTTGAATTGTAATTTTCATTCATATTTGTTTGTACGTCTGTTGAGCATTTAATACTGTTTCCTTATCGAAAACAATGACTTTATTTATTGTGATTTACCAAAGAAGTTTCTGTAGTATGCTCTAGTGACAATATTGCAAAATATTAATATTTGATACATATGTTTTAATGTTTAGTTATCCAATTCTTTACCTAAAAAATTGGAAGTATGATTTTATTGTTTTACTTCATAAATTTCTTGGTTTGGCCCATGTTTCCATTCCATTTCATTTATGCTCTTAGGCAACATGTGGTTTCTGTTAAAAGTCTTTGTATGCTACCATAGGTTAGATGCTGATTAGCATGGTTGGCCATGTGTATCACAGTGGCAGCTGCATGGATGATCTTAAATAAGAATTTCTGAATAATGGATTGAAATCCATCTTCTTGTTTGTTTTTGCAAATAACAATCATTCTTGTTTGTTCTTGCAAATAACAATCATATTGAAGTATTCGTCAATCTATGGTGGCTACCATGATGACATAACCAAAATTGGATGCAGGTATCTGAGAAATTATTTGGGTGGATACCTATTAAGATATTTGGATATAGAAAGAGAGTATAATTGTCTTTTGTCCAAGTAAATGAAACCACAACATGACCACATAGAATTATATTTGCAGTTTCCCATGTTTGAGCACCCCTGTTTGACTGCTTACATGTGCATTATCATTATATTGATCCATTTATAGTGAAATCTTCTATTCAAAGTTATATATTTTATTTTTTCCTAATACCAAGTGTTTCCAATTGTTGAATGGCAGGGAAGTGGAAGAAGTGAAAGAATATCTTGTGAAATGGAAGGAACTTCCATATGATGAATGCTCTTGGGAATTGGAATCTGACATTGCATCATTTCACAAAGAAATTGAAAAGTACAATCAAATGCAGTGTCAAAGTGACCATGGTTCTGCTACAAAACAAAAGATTGACAGTCCTGATGACTTGGAATCTAAGAAAAAACCGAAAGAGTTTCAACATTATGAGAGTACCCCCGAGTTTCTTTGTGGAGGTACAAGCTGCTCTCATTGAGTTGGGTGTTCACTAACTTCTTTCCTTATCACTAACATAAATTTGACTATATTATAATCTAGCTACTCTCATTGAAGTGGGTGTTCACTAATATTTTCCTTATAATCAACCTATATTTATTTGACCATTTTATTATCTAGCTACTCTCATTGAAGTGGGTGTTTACTGATTATTTCCTTCTAATCAACATATATTTATTTGACGATGTTATCATCTAATCACTGCTATCAAGGTTCACTGCATCCGTATCAGCTTGAAGGACTGAATTTTTTACGTTATTCTTGGGCCAAGCATACGCATGTGATACTTGCAGATGAGATGGGACTTGGTAAGCTATGTTTTGCCCTAAAGTGTTCTGTTATCCTTCGTCCTTCGTCCTTATTCCTCTTCCTATTTTTATTTGAAAACAATTTATACATGTAATTTCTTGTATATGCATATGGATATAGGCAAAACAATACAAAGTATTGCCTTTTTGTCATCTCTTTGTGAGGAGAATCTATCCCCTCATCTTGTGGTTGCTCCTCTTTCGACATTGAGGAACTGGGAACGTGAATTTGCCACTTGGGCTCCCCATATTAATGTTGTAAGTATATATGTTTTTCCAGTTTTGGTAAGATTACTGATGGTTATCCATTTAATTCAGGTTCTATCTCAGTTATGTCTTACTAACAAGTCAATTGCTGCAGGTAATGTATGTTGGCACAGCGCAAGCACGCTCTATAATAAGAGAATATGAATTTTACCTGCCCAAAGATCAAAAGAAGAAGAAGAAAAGGAGATCTGGTCAAGTTGGTAGTGAAGACAAACAAGACAGGATTAAATTTGATGTCCTTTTGACATCTTATGAAATGATCAACATGGATTCAACGTCATTGAAACCCATAAAATGGGAGTGCATGGTAATCCAAGATCCCCCTTTAAGTACTGTCGTTGACTCCATTTTATACTTGTTCTTAATGTTTGCTTGTTAATCTTTATCTAGATTGTCGATGAAGGGCATCGTCTTAAAAACAAGGATTCAAAATTATTTTCTATGTTGACGCAGTATTCTAGTAGACATCGAGTCCTTTTGACTGGCACTCCACTACAGGTATGTTGCCTAATTGTTTATGCACTTAATAGAAATACATGCATGAAAAGAAAGTGCGATTCTGTTGCTCGACATACTTATTATTTATTTTATACTAATTTGCTTCTGTTCTTGCTTCTATATGCATGCATTAGAGTTGACAAAAATAAACATGGCTGAAAATCAGACCCGAACATGACCCGAGAAATAAATATTTGGGTCTTAAAATTAGGCCTGAAAGATTTTTGGGCTCAGCCAACCTGGCACCTCTGCTTAGGCCTGTGCAAATCCGGTTGTGCCTTGCCCGGCATGATTTATCAAAACCATTTAAATTTAATATATTAATAATTATATAATAAAACTAAAAGTTAATTATATATTTAATGTTCAAAATTTAACTTTCAATAAAAATATTATTTTATAGTAATTGTATTTATTTAGATTAATATAATTTATTTTTAATAAAAAAATTACACAAAATATAATTAAATTTAAAGTCTTTTTAGTAAATTGGGCTGGCTCGGCCTGGCACAGTTTGAAACCAGGCCATTCCTGGGCTTTGGTTTTTAGGCCTGGTCTAAAACCGGGCTGGGTCAACCCTGCATGGATTTGAAACGGACCAGGCCAGCTCGGCACAAAAAAACTGGGTTGGTCGGAATTGCCACCTCTTGCATACATTATGTCTGGAGTCGCATGCAATGCATATAAAACAATTGATCTTTGATACTTCTCTGCTGAACTATACTGAAAAGTATTTAGAAAGCTTACCAACTTAGGTCTGGATTTGCAGAGGAAAAATATCCGTCAGTGTTAAATAACTTAGCATTGACTGGAGTAGATTTCAGGTTCAAATAATAGGTATCAAATTTTATTGTTGTCTTCATTCTGGTTTGGATTAACTAGATTAGTCGGTGGATATGCATTGTGCTTTATAATTATTGCGTTTCTATAAAAGTAGTGGCTAATTTGAGCTTTTGGTAAAGTGCCATGTCGATTGATGAGTGACTCTTTACTAATAATGGGCAGTATGTCTATATTTTGTTTTTCATTGTTTGTTATGCGATTTAATCTCCATTCCAGGGAACAAATTTTTCTTAATTCCATCTGTTTGACAATCCTATTATACACTATTTTAAAGTATACATGTGATTGGCTGAATCATTTAATCATGCTTAAATTACGTTGTGGTGAACTGCAGAACAACTTGGATGAACTTTTCATGCTTATGCATTTCCTTGATGCTGGAAAGGTTAGTGATTTGCAACATGATTACTTTCCTTTCATCGTGACGTGATGTGACTGAATATCTATTTCTGATTACAAAATATTTTTCAGTTTGGAAGCTTAGAGGATTTTCAGGAGGAATTCAAGGATATTAATCAAGAGGAACAGATAGAGAGGCTTCATAAACTGTTGGCTCCCCATCTCCTGCGAAGTAAGATCTGAGGCTTATTCTGTATTTCTCAGTTTTTTCCTTTATTAGTTTATTATTTCTTAAAGCAAGAATTCCATGGTTTCAGCTCCACTATGCAAATTCTTTATTTTGTTGACTGTGTACTTATATTTAGCATATAATTCTGTTTCTGGGAGGATACCTAGCAGTTTCTACTACTACTTTCTCTTAGCACCTGCGAGCTGGATCTCTTTTTATTTGTGACCCATGAGTGCACTTGAGTTTATAAATGGCTTTATGATGTTGGAAATGTATCCATTGACAATTTTGTGAGATAAGTCAACATTTGGGAACCATATGGATGTGAAAGATTGTTCACTTTGAATTGCAGGGGTAAAAAAAGATGTCATGACAGAATTACCTCCGAAAAAGGAGCTGATTCTGCGTGTTGAATTAAGTAGCAAGCAGAAAGAATATTATAAAGCAATCTTGACTCGCAACTATCAGATACTAACTCGCAAAGGTGGTGCCCAGGTGAGTGAATGCTTGGCTTATAACACTCAACTTTCTTTATGTTTATTTCTTAATTTTTTGGTACTCTGAATGTCTTATTATGAGGATCTAACATGTTATTCCACCTTCTGCAACTAGATTTCCCTTATCAATGTGGTGATGGAACTGCGCAAACTCTGTTGTCATCCCTTCATGTTGGAAGGCGTTGAACCAGAAGATACTAACGAGTTCAATAAGTAATGTAGCATTTTAGCTTAATCCTTTTATTTCTTGTCCGTTGGTATGCAAAACTGGTTCATTGTCAGCATGATATTGTTTCCGTGAATGATCTTGTTTACTGTGGCCAGTCTTTCAAGTCTTCTGTTTTTTCTTTCCCTGTAAGAAGTGTTATTTTTAATACTAATGTTATTGCTTGGTTGATTCTGATTGTGTTACTTTTGATGAAGAGTGGAGATTTCTTATTAAATATATATAAATAAATAAATAATACTATCTCAGGCAACTCTTGGAAACATCAGGGAAGTTACAACTTTTGGACAAGATGATGGTCAAACTTAAAGAGCAGGGCCACAGAGTGCTGATATATTCTCAATTCCAGCATATGTTGGACTTGCTAGAAGATTACTGCAATTATAGGGTGCGAATGAGGAACACTGAAATATTCATTTACTCTGTATATCCTAAAAGAATTTTTGGTGATTGGAATGATGCTTATCTACAATTCACAGAAATGGCTTTATGAAAGGATTGATGGAAAGGTCGGAGGGGCGGAAAGACAGATTCGAATTGATCGTTTTAATGCAAAAAATTCATCCAGATTCTGTTTCCTGCTATCCACTAGAGCAGGAGGTCTAGGAATTAACCTTGCTACTGCTGACACAGTAATCATATATGATAGGTAATATCTCTTTTTTATAGAACATATCTATGATATGGATCATGCTGCATGATGTTTTCAATACAGCTTAGCATATTTTACTATGTAAAGATATTTGTATTTGCTTTGCTTGACCAATATGTTCTGAACAAACCAATATAAGTTACATTGTGGACTTATCATTCTACACAAAATAGATTCAATCTGTAGCACCCTGATGCATCTATAGGTGTCATTTAGTCATTTTTGTGTTTTCAGTTGTGGAGGCATAATAATTCTTAAGTTTGAGACCCTAAGCCTATTATCTGTTTAACAATTCTTTGAAATTGCAATTCTATTTTACCATCTTGTTGATTGTGAAGATCTGAGTCATAAGAAATAGAACTTAAATTAGTAAGATGAGTGGACATCTTTTATCAGTTATAACTTTGGAGTGTGGTGCAACCATGGTGGGATAATTGATGTCCTGGTCTGAGATATGGAGTGTTAGTAGTAGAAAGAAAATTATAGGAGTCTCTGCATACTATTTTATGGATTGCATGGAAGGAAAAAATAGTGAGCTTTCTGCTTCTGCTTATTCTTTTGCTGCTACTGGTTCTGCTTTGACCTATAATTGTTAGTGCCTTATAATTTAGATATGGTACCTATAAAGATGTCCTTTTGAGTTTTTATTGGTCAAGGCATTTATCATTTACTGCTGGCAGTTTGGGTTTGTTGGTTTTTTTTTAATATAATTTTGCTTCCGCTTCTTCTTTCACCTATAATTGTTGTTGCCTTATGATTTGGATTATAAAGATGTCTGTTTGAGTTTTAGCTTTTATTGATCAAGGCTTTGATCCCTTACTGGTGGCAGTTTTAGCATGTTCGTTTTTATTTATATAATTTTTACATGAAAAATTTGCAAGTCCATCCATCATAATGTTAGGAGCTTGGTAGCACAAGTACTGTACATTTTATATGAACGATGAACACTTGCTATTTGAGATATCTACATGGTCCTCACCATATTAATCTAGTTGGTATGCTTCTTAAGCCTGGATATTTTATAATGTCTATTTCAGTATAGTAATGGTAACCTAATTTTCAATTTGCAGTGATTGGAATCCTCATGCAGATTTGCAGGCTATGGCAAGGGCTCATCGTCTTGGTCAAACCAATAAGGTCACATGAGTTTAGAGCTTGTTGTGGAATGTCTGTCTTGTTGAGCCTGGTGCTTATTAATTTATTTACTTTGTTCTATGTTCAGGTTATGATCTATAGGCTCATAACAAGGGGGACCATTGAAGAAAGGATGATGCAGATGACCAAAAAGAAAATGGTATTGGAGCATCTAGTTGTTGGAAGGCTCAAAGCGCAGAACATTAATCAGGTAAAAGTGTTTGTATGAGAAGTAATGTCTATCATCTGCAACACAAAGTGAATCATTGAAAATCTTGTTTAAGTGGGTTGCATAACTTTTTCCTGCAGACCATTATTCATATGCTTTCATCCATATCTGTTGCTGCTGTTATCCCCTTGTCTGAGATGCTAATATTCATTATATTAGTGATTCAACAAGTTCTCCTATCCCCCCAACTGAAGTTCAAAAAATAATGACAATTGTTACCATGAAAATTAAGGTTTAATTGATTTAAATTACATTACAATCATTATACTTCATATGGTGTTATTTGATTTGCAATTTTAGTGTCTGCAAGCTGATGTTTTTGCTCTTTTACAACAGCATTATTCCTTGTCATGTACCCCGTGTCAATGCATACATTTCAAAACCTCGAAAACTTTTGTGATTTTCATGATTCTGTAAAGATTCCAACACGTGAAACTATTTTGCTGGTAAGTCTTTTCTAATAAAATTAGCAGGGGACAGGTTGTTTATAAGTAACTGTAGCTTTGTAGTCTTAGTGTTTTAATGGGACCAAAAAATCACTGTAAAACTTCATACAAATGCATTGTTATTTTTCGGATAGAGTAAACATTAATTTTTATTTATTAACTTTTAAAGTTTGGTTTATATAATTTCTTATAGAATGAAACTTATTTGTATTTTTTGCTTGGTGTTTTCGTATTTAGTAAGGTGTTCACTGAATTATGAAAGAATTGGGTGTATTTAGTGGGTGATTTGTTTTGGATTTTCGTTTCCTTTTTTTTTTTGGTTTGAATAGTGATTTGGATGTGATGTTTTGCAAGTGAAAAATGTATTTATAGGGAGTTGCTAGGGTTGAATAGGGGAAAAAATGAAAATAGTGACCAAGTGAACACACCCATTATTTTTATTATTATGGTTTGGTAAGTTCACCTATTAGTTGCTATTAAAATCTGGCTCTTTCTGGAAAGCATTTATTGACTCTGAGGATATAATTTGGTCACAAGATTTTTATTGTCACATAATCCCATTGCCGTGATAGTTTTCTTCGCCACAAAGGCATTTCCTGCAATTTGATTTCTCTTTTTTATACAGCGGTGCTGGAAAATTTCGACAATCTTCATTATATATATATATATATATTTTTTTTTTTATGCAATTTGCCCTCTATATACAGGATCTGGTTACCAAAATCAGTTACTATTTATAAAATCACTCAATAAAGAAATAATTTGAGATCTGGTTGTATATTGCCTATAAAATTAGAAGAATTTCTATTCAAGATGGCTATGGTGTTTTTGTGGAACTGAAGGTGGTTTTCTGATATTGCTGCCAGTGTTCTGCGTATATTAGTTAGTTTTTAGGAGGGATCTTTTATGATTCTTATACATATGTTCAGTCCAATCCTTCTGAGATGTGCTTTGTTTTGGTTGCAGGAAGAACTAGATGACATCATAAGATATGGATCCAAGGAGTTATTTGAAGATGATAATGATGAATCAGTAAAATCTCGTCAAATTCATTATGATGATACTGCAATTGATAGGTAAATAAATTTTTATTTGATGCAACATTGGATTATTTTCCTTTTCTGTTCCCTGAGGGAGCCCTGATTATCAATTTGTAGACTACTCAATCGCGAACAAATTGGAGATGAAGCGGCTTCTTTGGACGATGAAGAGGAGAATGGGTTTTTGAAAGCCTTCAAGGTTGACAGTTCACTTGAATTTTATTTTATTTTTTAATCTGTTGCTCACTCTCTCCGTGCTCACCTTAAAATTATTTGATATTGGATCTGCCTGTTCTCTTTGGTTCCTGCTGTATAAATTGGTATCTTTAAATTTTAAAAAAAATCCATTTCATTAGTTTCTTTCTATGATGTGTGTGAGGCTACCGTTGATTCTGTTTGTTTCCAATGATTGCAAGTTTGTAACCTATCTGGTCATAATGTGTTGGCCTGGGTGGCTCTCTCTCTCTGATAGTCGATGAAAGGACCATTTAATTAGTCCAACAAGTTTCTTTGTGAAGCATGGAGCCCAAGGATGCTGATCTATTTGTTTTGCTGTGATCTTTTGTCTATCTCCCTAATTTCCCTTTTATCCCTCATTTCAAATCAACTGTTCTATATATATGCATAAACTTTCTTTTATTCAAAAAATTTATTCCAAAAAATTGCTTTGGCTGAGGATTTTAACACTAATCTGAGCAAACACATAGTTTGTTATTGATTTCAAAGGGATCTGGTTTATTGTTGCTGGATTTAATATTTTTTGTGTTCACTGAAAATGAGGAAGTTGAATTTTGTTCTTCCTTTACATGGGGAAGCTATATCAAATATATCCGTCACTTAGATTCATTGAGAAAAAATTTCGGGTGTGATTTTCCTGCTTCAGTATAGCATTTAAATATTAAAATTTGGAAGCTTTGCTGGGTTACTTGTGGGTGTTTATGCAATTATTTTGAAATCTTTTATTCCTTGCCTTTTCTCCATATTCTTTCTATTTTCTGCACATGAACCTGAGTTTCTTTTGTTTTATAAATTCCTCAGGTAGCAAATTTCGAGTATGTTGATGAAGCTGAAGTAGCTGCAGAAGAGGAAACAACTGTTGCACCGGAGGAGAATAAAGCTTCAGTAAGCAGTTCTGAAAGAGCAAGTTACTGGGAAGATCTGTTAGGAGATAAATACGAAGTTCATAAGATAGAGGAATTTAATGCTATGGGTAAGAGAAAGAGGAGTCGCAAACAGGTATGATTTTCAACTATAGAACTGATTTACCTTGAGAGTTCATTTGATTTTCTTATTGCTTTGAGCAATATAAATGGACAAGAAAAACTGAAAAATATGAACACAGTTCTTCAAATGTGATTATTATAGTTAAAGTCCACATCCAGGTTGAAAATGATAAATATGTGATAAAACTAAGACAAGTGATGAATATGTTATAAAACTCAGAGGCAAGCAAGATCAACAATTTCTTAGTTTCTTTAGGATAAGAACAACATCACATCTGCATTAATCTTTCACTCTGAATGTTGTATTTCCTCCCTGTAAGACCATGGTCACATATAATACAGACAACAATAAAGGTGGGGTAGAAGTCCTACTAAGATTATCAAAAGGGAGGATCAGGTGAAAATGGGTATATAGTTTGGTGATGTACTCCCCCATGATTTGTACTGCAGCCTTTCCAATAGTTCCTCTCTCTTCTATGTTTCATTTATTACATGAATTATCTTGATTTTGATACGTGAAAGGCATTGTTGGAAATGTGTAGGAAGTGTACATGACTGTGGTTTGCCTCTTCTGTGTCTCTCTTGTTGTCTGCAGACCTGAGAACTGTTCTCAGTTGTGCAATCTTTTCTCCTTTCTGGGGCTGAAGCTTCATCTTGTTTAGAGTTCTATGGAATTTGGGCTGTTTCTTCTCTTAATGCTTATACTGATGCTATATACAGCTATATCCTATTCTGACTCGGGTTCTTTTTCCCCTCCATCTGGATTTGTTGAGTCATTACTTCCGAATGTGAATATTAAGTGAATAATTGCAGCAATATTTTTGGTTTATAATTACCTTTTGTATCTTCCAAATGTAGGTTGTTTCTGTTGAAGAAGATGACCGCGCTGGTTTGGAAGAAGTGAGCTCAGATGGGGAAGAAGATGACGCATACACAACTGACAATGATGCAGGTTCAGCAGGAGCTGCAACTGGCAGACGCCATTACAGAAAAAGAGCTCGAGGTATGGAGTAAATGCTTATTATCCATGAACTTGTTAGCACAATGGCATTACCTTTTGTCCTGTTCAATATTTTCAGCTGGCAATTCAGAGAAACATCCTCTAATGGAGGGTGAAGGAAAGCACCTTCGTGTTTTGGGATTTAATCAAAGCCAGAGAGCGTTATTTGTTCAACTGTTGATGAGGTCACATTCCATTATCTCTCTAATTTCATAATCATACTTATACCATCTGTTGCTGCCTTCCCATCCCTTCCTCCATATCTTGAGAAGAAAGTTCTGGTCATATCATTTTTCTAATCCTCTGATGCAAGTAATTGAACTGTTCATACCAGGTTTGGCACTGGGGATTTTGATTGGGGAGAGTTTTTGCCGCGCTTTAAGCAAAAGACCTATGAAGAAATTCACAAGTATGTGATTAATATTAAGTGTTGGTTACATTAATGTTTTAAAATAGCTTCCCTTATCTAGCATCTCAAACTTATTCTTGTCCATTGGTGTTCTTTTAATTTTTGGGGAAGTAATGCGATTTTACATGCTTAAAAACTGTTGTGCAATTACATTCATCATATTGCAGTTACATGCTTGAAACCTCCGTCTTGCTGATTTCCCTAAAATTTCCTGGCAATTATTTTTAGTGTGGATATGTTTGTGGCAGAGCTTGCTCTGGCATGTCCTTATAGACTTGTGGAGTTTAGCCTGACCAAGTTAGTGTCCCTTGTAGATGGTATTGGTTGGCATGACTAGGAAATTTAAAGAGGCGTGTCCTCTGATCTGAGTCTATAACAGGCCAAGTACCTGCCACAGTCATTATCTGCTGCAGTTTTAGTGTTATTAATCCAGATGCATTCTCTGAATCCAATAAAAAATCTCCATTTGCATCTATAACTTCCTTAGCCAAGGAAAAATAAATGTAAGTTGTCTTGGTAAGAGGGCACCGTAAGTTTTATGAGGCATGCGGCCGTTATGGAGTTTTTCTTGGTTTTCAGTTTGCAAAGAGCAGAACACTTGTTGAGGGAAACTTTTGTGCTTTCTGTAGATAACTTAACTTCCTCTTCCTTCAATCATGTGTTCGATGGAGTGAGCCATTCACTACTTGAAATTGTTCTCCCATGTGGGAAAGAAGTTTGTTATTCTGAGCCGATTATGTTTTGTGCTTCAAAAAGTGAAATCAATATAACTTTTTCCATGTCTAGGTTACAACATTAAGAAAAAACATGCATGCAACATCTTTCATATCATGCTTTTATCCAGAATGATGGTCAATCCAATTTGTTATTACTCGTAGGGTAAAAGGCTATGCGTTGCGGATAAACATAGGATTGTACACACAGTTGATAAGTGGTACTTTTTTTTGTTTTGCAGCTATGGGATGATGTTATTTGAGCACGCAGTTGAAGATCCGAATGACTCGCCTACCTTTTCAGGCACTTCTTATGAAACTTAATTTTACTACATTTATATACTCCTATTTTCTTTGTTGTAAAACATATCAAATATGATATCATTTATGTTGATTGCAGATGGTGTCCCCAAAGAGGGTTTAAGAACTGACGATCTACTCGTCAGAATTGCTACACTATCCCTTTTCAGGGACAAAGTAAGTCTTTTATTTACAAGAGCTACTCATTATTGCAACTTAAGAGTTAACTTTTGTGACTATCTTATTATTTCAACTGAAGGATTGAAAATATGATTTGGAACTTCTTCAAATATTTCAGTTTTTTCCAACAAAATCTTTGAATCTTAATGCTGTTGTCGCCTGAGTGAGTCCCTCTCAATATCGAAACCATTGATCAAGGGAGATGAATTATGTTTAACAGATGCATTTTCTCCCTGCATTCTATTAAAAAGCCGTCCTTTTTTAACATTTACCTTGAGTCGAGAGTAATATCTAATAGCTATCAATGGTGGCAAAATTGAATGTTCATGCGGTGTCAATAGCTTAGTGAGAAAAAAAAAGAAATTCTATGGTATTTTGATATCTTAATAGAAGACTATGAAGGTATGGTGTTTTATGCCATCATTCCATCTTCCTGAAGACAAACCTATTTAAACAAACACATGACAGATCTAATAGGAATTTTTCTAGGTTCTGTAACCGTGCATTTCACTATGGTTTCCTTGATTAAAAAGCTGATAATAATTATGTCTTTCCTGAACTTAAGTGTTCTTCTTGATCCATCCTTAGGAACGAGCACATCTTTCCTTTTTTAGATGGCTAGGCATATTCTTTTTTATACTTACATTTCTAGGTTGTAAAACTTGAAGATATGCTTTAGTTATCTGGTAATCTTGTCAAGATCTTATTATTCAGTTATGGTTTCTTGTCATCTTAAATTTCACATTGAACAATCACTTGGGTTGCCAGGTGAAATTTCTCCGAGACTCCCCCATCATTTTCACTGACGATGTTGTAAGCCGCCACCCTGCGCTCAGAGGAGGGAAGATTTGGAACGAACAGCATGATCGACTGTTGTTCCAAGCTGTGATGAAGTATAATATCTATTCCCCTTTTCTTTCTCCTATTATCCATTGATTTATAATATAGTTTACATCCAAGTTATATAGTAGTAACAACAACAAAATATCTGTCTAATGTAGTGCAAAATAGATATAGGGATATAACATGAACACAAGTATCCGATGAAATAAGATAATAAAATTGTGTTTGTACAATGAACTCACTAAATAGGCCTTTTCATCTCTTCGCAAATTTATTTTATCATAATTTGATGAACTTCTCTCTGTCTGTACACCAAGACACGGATACGGACGTTGGCAGCAAATTGTCGACGACAGGGACTTGAAACTGCAAGAAGTCATCTGTCAAGAGCTGGGCCTTCGACCCCCAAATATGCCGGTTCCGGGATCCTCCTCTCAAGCTCATACTTCCTCTCCCGGAACAACTGCTCAAGCACCACAGGAGGGCTCATCCTCGGGAGCAACAACTGAAACAGCCGCCCGACCTCAACCTTCTCAAGAGACAACATCGCTGTACCATTTGCGGGAAATACAGAGAAGGCAGGTCGAATTCATTAAGAAAAGAGTGCTGCTTCTGGAGAAGGGGCTTCACGCTGAAGTAACAAAAGAATATTTTGTAAGTTATTTCTGATGCAATATGGCCCAGTAAATTACCGGGAAATTATCCCGATAGTTTCATTGAACGATTTTTTTATTCGCATCATTTTGTCATAATGCAATTGCTGTTTCCAGGCGAACCCGGCAGCATTTGAAGTCCCCGAGTATGTGCCAAGGCACCTCCGCACTGCAGAGGCAAAGCATCCGACTTCCGAAGCCTCCAAACTGAAAACAATAGGTAAGTCTAAGTTCAAGTACATTGAATTTGTTCGTTTCTTGGAAACCTTATGGTGAGTTTGTTTGAGATTTTGGAGAAAGTAGTTGATTAGATAGATAGTGAAAAATATGGTTTTGTCAATCTCCGACAGAAAAGTTCAGTTTGAGTTCCTAGTTGAGTTTATGATAGTGTTTAAAAATTGAAAATAGTTTGTTTTGTGTTTTGGTTTAAAAGAAAATTGCTTAGATAATATAAAAATAATAAATGCGCTAGTATATTAATTTTTTTGGAAAAATATGTTAGAAAATTTTGGGTAAAAGAACAAAGCTTATGGTTTTGTCAAGTTTGACAGAAAATTCAGCTTGAGTTTGGAATCGAGTTTATGATAGTGTTTAGAAATTGAAGCTTTGCGACAGCGTCTATAATGTTTATAAGCATCTATCGAATACTATGTATGAATCTCGATCTTGTTTTCTGCCTAATGCAGCGACCGAAGAAGGGTCGAAGGTTGCAGTAGATCAAAGTACTGGCGATGCTGCACCCGGAAGTTCGGATTTAAATCCGGGGGTCGATAACAAGAATGATGACTGAACCTTCCGGAGAAGGGAGAAAATGTTGGTAAAGTTGCCGACCTGGTAAGTCGAATATAGAGTATAAAAAATAAAGAGGATGTTTTATTAGCAGAAACTATACTGCAAATGTAGCAAGTGATGCACAGCATCTCTGTGTGTGTGGTGTGTAATATGTACCATTATATTTGAATGTTTATTGTTTTATTTAACTTAATTGACATTGATAAAGTTAGTTATACTTTGGACTTTAGTTTTTTATTAAAAAAAATAGGATCTTATTTATGGTATGAATTATTGTGATGCATGATTTTGTGTTCGATGTTTTTGTCAGTTATATGCACAACTGATGTTGTGTTGGCCTTATTTAATACTCGTCATAGATGTTTTTTTTTTTTTGGTAATTTGTACTTATTTGACACTTTATTTTTTTCAAAAATATTACTCTGTCCCAAACAAGGTGGAACTTTTACTTTTGGCACGAGTTTTTAGGTGATTAGTGTTAAAAGTAGGATAATTTAGAAATTAGGTGATGCGATGGGGAGAGAAATATATATTTTATTTTTTTATTTGAATGATGTGAGGGGATAAAGTGTGGAGTAGAGATTAAGTATAATTAATTATTTTCAAAATAGGACATGTTTGGTACATACTAAAAATGAAATATTGTAGGGTGTTGGTACATACCAAAAAATGTTGCAGAGAGTATATTTTTGGGTCAAATTTTATTATATTTTTGTGTGTTTGTAAAATTTATTTTATTACTAATCAATATTTAACTATTATTTTTTATTTAATATTTATTTACAACGAGTATTATTAATTTTATTATATTCTATTTTTTTGTTTTTAATTACTAACTAAATGTTTAAAAATATATTTAGGGTGTGTTCGGTTGTAAAATTTTAACAAAATTTTACTATTCATCCAATTTTTTCCCTCCAAAAACATCAAATCAAACACCTATTTTTCATTTTTTATATTATACTAAAAATTAATTTTACATTCAAAACATCACATCAACACCTATTTATATCACATCATACAACTATTCAAATTCAAAATTTTTACTATTCAAATCCCAACTCAAAATCTAAACTCCCAAACAAACACACCCTTACTTAACAATTTTTTGTTTAGTGAGATTGTTAGAAATAATTTTTTTTACGTGTTATATAGAAAATTGTGTAAGGAATATAAAAATAATAAATAATGTATTAATATTTTTAAAAAAAAGTTGTAGAGAAAAATCTTAGGAAAAACAAACTATTAGTTTTTTTTTTAATAAAATGTTTATGTTTTTAATCTCTGTGTTAACTCGGAAATATATAGAGCTGACAATGGATTGATTCGTGTGTGGTTCGTGTCAGGTTGAATAGTTTAAACAGGTTATTATTTAACTCTAACCTGACTCGTTTATTATCGTGTCGCGTTCGTGTTAACCCGTTTATCATCTTGTCGGGTTTGGGTTGACTCGTGTTGATCCGTATACATAAGTAAATATTTTTTTGTTATGTTGTTGTGTTATGTTAGTTTTTATTGTTTTGAACGTAAATTATTAAATTATGATTATTTTACATAGATAATAAATATATTAATTAATATTAATATATTATAATCGGGTTGTCGTGTCGTTCGAGTTGAGAGCCTCAACTCTAATCCGACCCGTTTACTATCGTGTCGGGTTCGTGTCGACCCGTATACATAATCGGGTTGAAATTTTTGACCCAAGCTCAATTATTTTGAGTCTGTCTAAGTTAGTTTCTAGAAATATATACTCTCACTATTTCCTCTCACGAAATTTTGAAATTTTAAAAAATTGCAAAATAGTAAAAAAATTAAATACTTTATTTGATATATTGTGAAAAAACATATTTTTGAAGTGATCTTTTGAAACAATTATTATTGATATAAAAATGCAGATAGTTATTTATTTATTTATTTTTATATAAAAATGCAGGTAGTTGTGCTCTATATTTGTGTTGCATTTGTATATACAAGGAATATTTCAAAACAAATGATTACATTGACTAGGGCAGGGCATATTGGAGTAATATTTTGTATATCTCCCTATTGAGTAGCCATTATTGTTTAAATAAGATCGGATAGCGACACAATAAGCACGTGTAATTTGAATATCATCGTTCGATTCGATTCGTTCATTCCGTCAGAGTCACGAACGTTCTTTCCTTCATTCAGCTTTTCGTTCCCCTTTCTACAAATTTCTGCAATCAATCCCTCCTCCCACGTATCGTCCCAATCAAAATTCGCAATTTCGCATCAACGACATCGCAATTTTCATCCTCTTCAATGGCGGTTTTGAACAACCGCCTCGTTTGCAGAGCAGCTGCACCAATTCGAAGTTTCTGCACCAAATCAGCTGAGACGGAGGCCGAGCTTGGCCGAGCTCTTTCCTCAGCCATTCCTGCTCAAAGTTCCAAGGAGAAGGGCAGGAATATCCAGTGGGTGTTTCTAGGCTGCCCTGGAGTCGGCAAGGGGACCTACGCCGCTCGTCTGTCGCGACTCCTCGGCGTGCCTCACATCGCCACCGGCGATCTCGTTCGCCAGGAGCTCTCCTCCCGCCGGCCGCTCGCTTCTCAGGTTGATTTGCTTGCAGTTTCTCTGAATTTTGATTTAGTTCATTTGTGGAAATTAAAGTGAATTGCTATTACGTATTGGTAAGTTGAACACTGTAAATTTATCACGAGTTGATTTTGAAGGGATTTTAATTTATTTGTTTTGATTTTTCCTCTAGGGATCTTCTTTTGTTATTTTTTCTGCATTTAAGATTTACAGGCTCTCGAAGAATCTCATGAAGAAGTTATAATCAGTTTAGACAGAAGTTTAGGATCCGTCTAGAAGGAAGTTTTGGTGAAAATAGTAAAGAAGTTGTATCTTATGTGATGTTTTGCGAAAAGAAAATATATTGTTCCTAAAGAAGTTGATGTAATGAATAATGTCAACTTTATATAAACTGTTGGTATTTTATTTGATGTAAAATAGTGCCAATAGTTTCAAAATTTTGTAGAAATAGCAATATGTAGGGTGTTCAATTTATCTTTAGCAATAGAAAAATGTATTTGATGTAGTAAAAGTTATTGTTGACGAATAGTGACAAATTAATATATGATATTATAGTTATTTTTCAGTTGCCAGTTTAGGACCTAAATACAATACCTTTCTAAAGATTTAAGTGTGTTTCTTGTGTATTCGAGTTTGTTTTCGGACAAGTTATTCTACTAAAACATTTTATCCTCTAAAATCATCATATGAAATGTATAATCCATTTAAAATATCTCATCGATAAGTTTTCACTCAAAACATTGTCTAACAACTTAATTTTAATTTAAAACATCACATTCGAACCCTATTTTCTATACAAATTTACTTTATCCAAAACACTAGAAAAACACAAATAAGCAAAAGTATGACTAGCAGGGGAATCATGCACCAAAAGGATGCTGAACTGGTTGTATCGGTTACGCAGATGCAGATTGGGCAGGATCTCATATAGACCGGCGATTCAATTCTGGCCGGTGCATTTTTCTTGGGAGGTAATTTGATAGCTTGGCGTAGTAAGAAGCCACAGCTAGTATCTTGAAGTAGGGCAGAAGCTTAATGTTAGGCTATAGCACTTGTGATGTATGAGTTAATTTGAGTAAGAGAAATTGTATAGAGATAGAAAGGAAGCATTCGGTATCTTAAGTAATCCAGTCCAACTCGATAGAACGAAGCACGTTGAGATTGACTGGCATCTTATAAAAGAGAAACTGGTGGTTGGAGATGTTAATATTAATCCATGTACCAACTAGAGAAAGAATAGGTGATTTTTTTCACTTAGGGGCTGAGGTAAACCACATTTGAAGACTTGATCGGTAAGCATGGTTTGGTGGACTAATACAATCTAGCTTGAGGAGTGTCGGCATAATTAATAGAAATAGATTAGACATATTGGTGAAAATCATTGATTCAATAGATTGCATAGTTCATTCATAATATGATTGATAGATGATTGACATAAAATCAAGTAGCTTATTGTTGATGGAGTTTATCATCGATAGAGAACTTTGTGGCGAGCAAAGCCACTTGCATGTATTGTTTGGCTCAATTTCTAGGTACAACATTTGTTTCGGGAAAAAAATTGTTTCAAGCATTTAGACAATAAATACGATGGTTTCTTGCTAGTTATTGGTTGGAATTAGTGTAGAACTCACTGAAAACACAAATAAAAATGCATTGATTGGGATAAGATAACTCTGAGCTGAATAGAGTCTACTTTTCGTGATCGATGTTCCTTCTGGTCATTGTACTGAAATTGAGTCATTCCTTGATCCTTTTTTGATGTATTGTAATATTTCTTTCATCCCCATTTCTCATTTTTTGCAGCTTGCGGGGATTGTTAACCAAGGGAAGTTAATTTCAGATGAGATTATTATAGATCTTCTTTCAAAGCGTCTAGAAGATGCTCAAACTAAGGGCGATACAGGGTTCATTCTTGATGGATTTCCTCGAACTGTTAGACAAGCCGTAAGTAATAATGTTCCTTGAGCCTGTTTGGGAATAGGTGAAATATACACATAGTTATAAAACAGAGTTAGCAACTTTTGACCATATTGGTATTTCAATGGCTGAAACTTGACCATGGTGCTGTTAAACTGCAATAATACCCTAATTTCGATTTTGCATTCTACACTTTGTTTTGGGTAGGCTGTACTCCTAGCTGTTGCTCGGACATGCTATAACAGGACCTGTGAAACTGGTCCTGCTAGTATTTTATCATAAAAAATGTTAAGAATTTTTTATTTTCTATTTCATGGAAAAAATTATGTAAGTGTGTTTTTCGGGTTTTGAATTTTGTGTTTAGAGTTTACATAGTAAAATTTTAAATTGTAATAGTTGTTTGATGTGATATAAATAGATGTTAGATATGATGTTTTGAATCTAAAATTGCTTTTAGTATAATAAAAAAAATAAAATATAGGTACTACCTCCGTCATCGAAATATATGCATATTTGAACGGACACGGATTTTAAGAAAAGTCGGTAAAAATATTTTTTTTCCTTTTATAGTAAAATAAAAAGTAAAAATGGATATTTTTTTACTAAAAAATTAAAATAAAAATATTTTTTCATGACAATAAAAAAGTAAAGTAAAATAAATTTGGATGACAGAGGTATTTGATTTGATATTTTTGGAGAGAAAATTTTTAAAAAATAGTAAAAATCCTCCAAACAGACACATGAATGCGGTAGAGCATGATCGTTGAAAGCTAATGATTTATATAAGAAAGTGTGTGGTATGGGGTTTTGTGGTTACAAGTAAATTTTCCTTTGAATTTGAAAGTGTATGGTATGGCAAGCTAGTGATTTATATATGTGTTTGTTAGAGCTTTGTGGAGTAAAGAATCGAAGTTTATTTGTGGAGTAGTAGGTGGCTTCTTGCTAGAGCCTTGTTAGTTTCTTTAATGTTTTCACATATGTCCACATGATAGATATACTAACATCAAAATGTCTTGTTCACCACTCCTGTTCCTTTTCGCCGTACCTATCTGTTAACTAACTCTGGCGATGACTACTGAAATGCTGCCAAGAACTTCATCGAAACTTCTTTCTTGTTCTTGTTATTCCTTACTATTTAATTCACTTTAGTTTTTGTAATTTTCATATGTTGTTAGTAGAGAGAGGAACTGTAATCCAGGTTTGACAAAGCAGGAAATTTTGGAAGGAGTTACAGATATTGACTTGGTAATCAATCTGAAACTTCGAGAAGAAGCATTAATTGCTAAATGCCTTGGACGAAGAATTTGCAGCGAGTGTGGAAGGAATTTCAATGTCGCCTGCGTTGACATCAAGAGTGAAGATGGTAACCCGGGAATGTACATGCCTCCACTTCTTCCTCCTCCGCAATGTACATCAAAATTAACTATTCGTTCCGATGACACAGAAGAAATTGTTAAAGAACGCCTCCGAGTCTACAATGATATGGTACTTTTTTCTTTTTGTCTCTTAATTATAATATTTTGAGTAGTAAATCTTTGAAGTTTTGGCATAGGGAACACATCAGCTAAAAAGTTTTAATCATGTTTAAATTTCTTGATTTTTTTATCGTTATTTTTTACCTTATAATCGCGGCAAAATGTCACACCTACAAGGGTATTTACAACTTTCTATAAATGCATAATATCATTTGTATTGTATTATAAATGCAATAAAATCTTCGTATTTTATTGATTAAGTAAGATACTTATATTAAGTTATGCATAAAATTGATCCAATCCTTCATTTCGGAGTTTGTAAAATGGAGATGAGTCTTGTGAAATGACGGATTAATCAATTTTTCATTTATTTATTTTATTAAAAGAAAATTATATTGAAGATAACTCAATTTATTCATATAATACTAGGTGTTGGTTGTAGTTTAACCAACGCCAGCTTTGAACGAATAATATATTTTGTGCGTACTTAAATATTTTGCCCAATATATAAAATATATGGGGTTTGTTTGTTTTGTAGAATACTTTGAAGGTATGTTTTTTATGTGAGGTATAGGATATTGTATAAATAATATAAAAATAATAAGTGTGTGTAATATATATTTATTTTTTTGGAGAAATGTGCGTTTGTATTTTCACAAAACAAACAAACCTATTATATTATATGCATTTATAATATAACATAAGTGTATTATGCAATTTACCCTTATTTATCTCCAGTCTACATTGTAAATAACAAGATAGTGACCTAACTGATTTTTCAAAGCAATGTATTGCTTTGGTGTATATTGTACTTGATTTACACACTACTAAACACTAACCCTCGAGGTTACAGAGTCGAGCTGTTGAAGAATTCTACCAACGGCGTGGAAAACTATTGGAGTTCGATCTTCCTGGAGGAATTCCGGAATCATGGCCAAAGTTGCTTCATGCTTTAAATCTCAATGACAACGAAGACAAAAGAACAGCCGCCGCCTGATCTTCACAATACTTCTCGATTATCCTAAAACCTCGGGTAAGTAAGTCAGTCATTATTTACGCATAAATTCTGCGTGTCTATTGCCTGTTATGTGTTATTTAATACACAGTTTCGGAAATAGGTGATTATATATCTATATGTGCTTCAATTCTTTCAATAAGGGCTGGTACAGTGTTCTATAGGTTGCTTTCTTATAAATATGTTTTTAATTAACTTTTATTTGTTGAAGTAACTATGAACTTGTCGATGATGCCGGGTGTGTTTGGTTTGGGTATGTATTTAAATAGTTGATGTTTTGTGAGAAGAAATTGTATATTTTTATAGAGAATAGTAAACTTGCGTAGAGATAAATTGAAAAGAAAAAAAATAAAATAAAATTTTGAGAAGAATTAGAGTCTTATGTGTTGCATTCTTAGAAACGTCAACGTTGATATCTCTTTGGTTTGCAACTTTTGCATGTGGTTATCATTTATATACTACTTTTGTTCGGCTCTGAGGGTCATATTTATTTTTTTTGTGATATTTGAATATTAATTATTATATCAAAATATAGTATAAATATACAAAAAAATTATATAAATATAAGAATATTTTTAATGCTAAATACAATGTCGCAGAAGGTAAGTCTAACCCTTAGATACTACGGAAGAAGTATGTATTACTATGATTTAACAAGTTAGAAATAGATGCTGAAACAGGTTTCTAATATGGTTCATCAGTTTTTCATTTTTCAGTTTTAGTGTTTCATAGATTATTTAGGGGTTTTGGTGCATAATGGAGAAATTTGAGTAGAAAATGAAATTGCAAGAATTGAATAGAGAATAAAAATGACTTGATAATTCAGTTGAGAAATGTAAAAAAACTACAGCTATCGGAAATTAGTTTTAAAAAGTGAGGATTCATGAAAAAATACTTATGGTAAATAATTATATAGTGTTTTTTAAGATCATGTTTTAGTATAATTTTTTAAAAGTAAAAATTAAATGCTTATAATAAATAATTTATTTCTCAAATTTTACTCTTTTACTTAATCCCTTGAAAAGATCAATAATAAGATTTCAAATTAGGGTGTTTTTTTTGTGTGTGTGGAGACGCCCTCGTGGATTTTATATTGTTTTTTTTTTTTTTTAATTTTTTTATTTGATCTAATTAAAAATAATTAAAGAAAAAAAAAATTCAGGTGTCCGTCAGCTGTCGCTGATTTGGAGGGACACCTGGCGGATACGTGGCTTCCGGCGAGCCACGTGGACGTCTCTGGCGTCGGATTAAAACAACGAAAATTTTTTACTTATGGAATTAGTTTGCCACAGGTCTTACAGAAATACAGCGCATATATGCAATTGTAAAGAAATTAAAAAAATATATATATATCTAAAAGAAAAGAATCACTGTGTTGTTTTCTTTATTGGGAAAAATTTATTTATTTGATGTGATAGTTTTTACACAATAAAACTTCAAAACTTATTAATTGATGTGATATAAATCAATATCAATGTAATATTTGAAACTTAAAAATAAGTATTTGTTTTAATATATATTTTCAAAATACTATTAAAAAAGACTTGCAAACAATTAAGTCATAGGCTGTGGTTATACACACAATTCTTTGCGATAGTATTATAGTGCTCAAGATCGATGAATGTAACAATGATACAAATAGGAAAAAAAGGTATTAGATTCAGCTCGGAGGTTTACCCAATGCGCACTTTCGGATAACGATTGCGGATTTTTACGTCATAAAACAAAAAAAAAGGGTGCGAAATTAACTTGAATCACTCTTCAAACTCATCTTATAGTGTTACCATTCGCACTTTAGGCTCGTTGTTTCTCAAGTGGTAAGCCACATCAAGATGCAAAATAATTTTTAAAGCAACCATAATGGCCTTTTTTGTAGGCCTAAATTGTATATTTAGAAGCAATGTTTTGAGGCAACATCGGGACAAATCAACGGGCAATTTCTATTTCTCTCTTCACTTTTAGATTTATTTCTAGTTCTCACCGACGACTTCTCCGGTCTCCACCAAAGGTTCTCTCCGGCGTCTAATCCGGTAAATTTTTTCTGAATTTTTGTGTTTTTTTTTTTTTAATCTATTTTGGTTGAAATCAAAACGATAGTTTTCTTTTCACATACCTTGGTATGTGAAATAGAGTTTTACTATTGCAGAGTTTTCAAAAATTTTGCAAATTAATAGCGAGAAAGAAAGGAGTCTCGAGAGAGGAAAATCTCTTATGCGCAATTTCAAATTTAAATAGATTAAAATTGAAGATGGTGGTGGTCTTTTGCGACTAGCCGTGCCTGAAAAAGATTTTGGAGGAATGAACCTTAATATATATGTAGGGTCCTTTGATTTTAGAAACAAATGAATGTTAAGAGCTATTGGCCATATTTTTTTTTCATAAATGATTCGACATCTTGCTCTTAATGTAATATAAATACTAAAAAATAAAGTTCTGATTTGATATTTTTTTTAAGAAAAAAAATAAAAGATACAATGAATAGTGAGAGTTTAGCTCCAAATCGATATCCAAACACATACATAGAAGTTGAGCCCGTAAACTACTCCAACTAAATTCAACTTTAACTCACTCTATGCGCGTGCCAACATACTCTAAATTTCGAGTCTTGACCGCCGTAGGAATTGAGAACCACTCATGAAGGTGTGGATTGAACTCCACGGGCTCACGAGGATACGACTATTTATTTATTTATTTTTTATGACAGTGAAAATCCGCAGCCGCTACCCAAAAGTGTGTACGGGATAAACCCCCGACCGAACCTAATACTCTGTAAACCAAACTCGACAGACAAGTCACACAAGGATACGATTTTTGCCCCTACATGATCTCACCGAGATACATAAAGGTGAATATAGGGCCTAGTAAACGGGAATAGAACCTTATACACTTGGATATGCTTTTGAAGCAAAGATGTGTCGAGGAAGGTCAAAAACAACTTGTGTCACGATTTTAAATTGGTGCATTGAGTTATAAACTAGAATGGCGACAAAAGAGAAGGTATATAAGCCAAACAAGGAGAGGAAGTATTCGCCGCGGAAACTCAATTTGCATTGAACCACCCCTTTTACCTAAGCACGCGCTCGACACCTACCCAAAAAGATCGGAAACACTCTCAACGGGACAATTTCCTACAACAATTGAGTCGTAGAATTTGAACTAAAACGATATAAGGACCGAGTGCCATCCATGGCGGATACTAAGCATGGATCCAAACCAATCATTTTTAAATCGATTGAATCCGCAATATGCTAATGAAGATCAAAATCATATTCACAAACAACTAGAAGAAGGATAAATAGTTCCTAATATTCAACACGAGCGAACAATTCAGAGAAACGATACCTAAAAAAGATGCATATAATACGAATAATAACTCAACCCAACATAATGCATCTAAGCAAAACATAGTCAATAGACAATCCACCGGATAAGATACAAACAAACAAATCCCGAAAATGTCAAGCGTCAAATTCACCAACAAATGTCTAAAACTCTCGGAAATCAAATCCACGAACGGAAATACTCAGCATCAATATGCAAGCAAGCAAGCTGATAGTACGCAAAGTTCTTTATTAGAATGAACCGAAGTCTGTAAAAACTCTTACCTTTCGAGCAATGGCAGTCCCAGCCATTGTCCGGCATTACGAATCACAATCCACAAACACCGCTCTCTATATTCCGTCATGTCGCTGGGGGCCACCTACACGGACAACACTCACTGATCCGTCGAGATAAGCAATGAAAACCTTGAAGCGGCCGTTTCCACAGGGCTGAAGAACCAAACAATAAACGAGAATTACTAACCGGCCAAAAAGAAAAAGAAACGAACAATGGAAAGCAGGTTGGCGAAGAAAAGTAAGACGTACGATCTCTAAATATAAGTTCATTAATTTATCAGCACAGTTGAGAAACGTCGGCAGTAGAGTCCACCCAAAAGCATCGATATTCGGGATCAACAGGCTAGACAGTTTCGGAAACCTCGGGAGGGGACGAGCGCTGCGCGCGAGCATCTGCAAGAAAAAAAAAAAAAAACACATGTAAGACAACGTCCACTACAAGATTTCTCGAAGAAAACGAAGACACGGAAATAGAAGCTCACCCTCACGACTTCTCCCGACAGCGACAAGTTCACTGCGTTAGTGCAGGCTTTGATAAGTGTGAAGGCTCGTTCATTGAACTCATTATAATGATGGGGCTCGTTATATGGATTAAGATCAAGACGAGCCCCGATCAGACAATCAAGCTTTTCTTTTACATTAACGTAATTAGGCACGAGGCCTTTGAACAAGAAATGCTCGAGGTTTGGAGTACGGAGCTCGAATCCACCGATGTGCTGCGGTAAGGTGTTGTACACCTTTAGCAGTGTAAGATTCGGAACAAAAACCCGAACAAAGGAGTTGTGGGGCACGTAGCAGTGGTCTAATACCAACACTTTAAGCTTAGGACAGCATTCTATAAGGGCATTAACAGCATTGAACCTGGTCAGAGAAAGCTCCTCAAGATTCGGTAGACTGAACCTGAATTCATCGGGATTGACACCATAATCAAGCTGCAAGTTTAGAGAAACAATGTTTGCACCGAAGAGACTGTGAATGAAATATTCGGGATCCACATCCGGGTGAATGCAAAGATCCATCTTCTTGACTTTAAGATCTAAAGCAGCTTCGATCCATCTACTGATCTTTTGGCCATCATCGAAATTACAGCACCTTAGATTGAAAGATTCTACAGAAGGCTTTAACGGGCTTCCACGCAGAGTGACATATAGCAACCTGTCGACAAAATCCTTGAAACTGGTTGGGTTCCAGTCTGCATCCGACTCTGGGACTATCCTTTCAGTGTCATCTAACACAATTCGAAGATTATGGACTAATGGCAGCAAATCTTTCCACTGGGTCGACAGAATACCAGTGCCAACAGCATATTTTGTCGGGAGGAATGATAGGATGTGACAGAGGATTTCATTCGGTAAACTACTAAGCCGGTCAATCCCATCCACTTCATTAGCCCTATTAGGCACAGGTTCCTCAGTCCTAGGCATCCTTCCACGGATTTCATGACATTTTCGGATAATAGCCATCTTCCAACACTAAAAGTAGACCCTCGGAGGTGAAGTACAAAAAAGTTTGCTCACAATGATCAACCACTCGCCAACTGTTAGATCTGAAATTTTAAATTGCGTTGAGAAGGTGCAAAGCCAACCTGAGAAAAATAAACAAGTAAAGCATATTAAGTACTTTTTCTTAGCAATAATTCGGGGTTTCATACACATCTGTATGCAATTGTGAGAGATAAAAAAGAACAAAGAGAGAGGAAACTACTGCTGCATAATCATCGCGTTAAGTTTCCAACAGATATCAGATTAGGAAACAAATCCTGCTTGAATGTGTATAATCTAGAGCATTGCCCTGTGGGAAATGAACTTCGATTAAAACAAAATAGGCTTCAAATTTCAAAAATCGATTTATTCAATTAAAATGATTTTCTCCGTTAGAAACCTTGACAGATTACATAACCGGTGAATCAACAGAGATTGCTGTGAGATTTCTCATACAATCGAAACAGATCTAAAGATGACTAATGAAAATAAGGCATGCGATTTAATCTAGGAATTCATAACGCCGTTTAGCCAAAAACATGAGCAAGCACACTCAGATCCACAACAGAAGATCAGATTTAAATCAAGAGGCAATTCATAAATGTAACCAAATGCATAAACAAACCAGATTTTGTTTCTCCATACCTTTCTTCTAATCAATGGCCATTCCTCAATCGCAGATGGATGATTTATTCTACAATCTAATCTGAGCGAAAGCAAACCACAAGCCTCTGCTGCTGCTGCCGCCGCCGCCGCTGATTTTGCCCTAAATTTTGTTTCTGAAAATTTTCCTACACATATTTATAGCCACATTGTCTGCATAAAGCTGTAGGACACGTGCCCCATCAGCCTTACCTAAAAATTTTATTACTAGCGTACAAATGTCGTTTCAAATTTGCAGAACATTGGAAGGACTAGTGGGGGCTGCATTGACGTCAGCCTCCAGTCAGCAAATGTAGTGTAATTTAAGCATTTATGAGCGCGAAGAGTCGCATGCACCTGTAAGGACCTAAAATGCGATTTATTCAATCTTTTATCATCCCAATTCTTTAATGGCAAATGCTTAAATGACACACAACGGCATAAAACACTTCTTTTTGAAGTTTGGGTTTTGTATTTTTACCATGCAACAATCGCGATTCACTATAAATATACAATATTTCTTCTCATGGAACATCTCATCCTAACCACTATTCAAGCAAAAGACCAAAACAACACTCCAAAAGAACACACCTTCATACATGTTCTCAAAAAGAATTTATCTCATATCAGCAGAGTAGATGAAGGTGGCACACAAAGACAGAATATAACAATAATTTTCACAAGAAAATGAAGGAGCCATTTAAGTAAGGATACCTTAAAGATATTTATCACCAAATCATAACTCGGTTCATCAAAACATTGCATTAGGTAGCTTCATTTCATTTTGCAGGAAGTATTTTTAATCTACAATGGAAGGTTCCCATTTTGGATTAAATGTGCCCCCAAAAACCATTGTCTTTTGCATCAATGGCCATATGTCATTCCCCATTACAAAAAATCCAGAAATGATCTCATTAAACAAGAAGAATTCAAGCAATTGCTTACGTAGAAGAATTGAACATCCCATACCTGCCACAATTGCATATTTCCATACTAGAAAATTGTGTATGAAAAGAAGAAAGAAGAAATATATGGAAATGAAACACGTAATAAAATGTATTAATATTTTAAATCCAACATACATAATAGTTTAACAAATTTAATTCATACTTTCCTTCTTAACTAAAACACAATAAATGAGAAACAGAATTTAGTCAGACCAATACTAGATGTACATGAGATTCCAAAATAAGATGCTGCAGCAAATTGAATAACTATTTTCTAATTGCTATTCATGTGGGTATTTCATTTCACCAGCCTTGGGGAAACTCTAAAATCTAACATAAAGCAAATCATTGTCTCAAAGATGTTAATACTAGTAGTTTTGCGTCATTTCATTAAGCATAGATTCATTTAGTCAAAGGTAATTAGACAATAATTGTTTACAACCTATTACATTGGGCTTTGGCACTCACCATTGATATGCAATATCAAGTTTATCTCATGTCTTCCTCTATTATGTCACTCTAATATTGTGCAACACACGTTATATATACCGAACATAAATCAGTGCCCACACTTGACTTCTTAGCACAATAGAATGTTACATCTAAGTAGGGGTGTCAATTCGTGTTATTAGGTCAGATTTGTGTCAGATTAAGCTATGGGTATAACAAAAAATTTGCTAGCCTGAACCCGATTTTAAAACCCAAAATTCTAAACTCGAACATGTCATGAATTCTTTCGAGTCAGGTTCAGGTTAATATGATTTTATTTCGGGTTACTTGATAACCAGAACGAACCTGATCAATCCGATATGAAATAGATTTGAAACTACGAAACTGACACAAAATAGACCAAAAAATATGAAAAAATTAAAAAATTGAAAACATATTTTGTTAAAAAATAATTAATTAAAAATTTCATTAAAAAAAAATTACCAAGAGGAAGATGGAGGTCAAGAAGAAGATTATAACAGACAAGTGGGAATGGATAACATAAGTTCTATTTTTAAAAAATAAATAGCAATATAATACTATATAATTTATCAATAATTTTATTATATTAATATAATTTTAATTTGAAATAAAGTAGAAAACAACTAATAAATTATTGATGTAAAATCAAGTCGAAATCGGGGCTAGGTTTTGGATCATCAGGTGAATTGACCTGATTTTTATATTTCAGATTATTAGGTCAACCCGAAAACTTATCTGATCAAGCTTGAATTTATATATATTTTTTTCATTTCGGGTTGACTGATTTCTTAAAAATCCCGAACACCCAAACCCAAACTTGAAAATTTTCAAGTCAAACGGGCTTGTGTTACGGGTCATGTTCAAGTTTGCACCCTTACATCTAAAACCCTTTGCTTGCCACTCTATTGCTTTTCTTTAACCACCTAGCTATCCCATTTTTCATATTTTCCAACCATCAAGTACTAACTCAAGGTTCTATAGTTGAATTAAAATAGATGATTCTGTATCATTTATAGTGAAGGTATCAAATATCAGGAAGAATACAATCTGGGAAAAGAGAGAAAAATAAATAAGTGGATTAATATAAAGCTTGATCCTGTTATTCAACACTCAGAAAAGCATCCCCAGAAATAAACAGGCCTTCTTCAAATAATTATTAGGGAGAAAAAACAAGAAAAGCACCACGTGAGATGTCAAGAGCAAATAAGACGAGAGGATTTTCAAGCGTATGAGGTGAAGAGAGACTGGCATACATATTTAAAATAAACTAAGAAATGGAAAACAAAAAATGATAAAAAAAAAAATTAAAACAGAGCAGGCCTATGCACACACATGTGAGGAAAATAAGTGGGTTTGGCCTACGAAAACCTAAGCCCCCCAAGCACACAATCTCATACTTTTAGCTGATTTACTCACAAGCCCTAGATATGCAAACAATAATAAGGAGGTAAAATTATTTTTCATTACGAAGTGTGGTCGGAGGTTTATGAAGTACATGGGATACTATCCCTCAAGGGAAATAACCAACAACAATGAGAAAAGCTTTAGCTACTGCATATGTTCTCCTACAATTTACAAGAAATAAAAGCCGTATCCTAAAATGACTGTTTCTTCTAACTACATCCTCCAGAGGCACAAGTTCCTCTTCCGCATATTGAAATGTCCACATAATCGACTGACAAACACAAATACTTGTTTAAAAACCGTAGGGTATATTTCCCTATAATGCCAATGTTGGAAATTTTTGTTAGAAAGAAAAGCATTAAACATAAAAAAGAAACATTTACACGTGGCAACGTTAGTATTCTGAAATGGAAGAAGACAGACTGGACAATATTCTTTTGGTCAAGTCGACAAGGGCATGAAATTATTTGATATTTTATAAGACAGTCCACATAAACCCCTGAAGAGTTTGTTAAGTCCTCGTCCTTAAACTCAATCTAATCATCACAGGGACCAAACATTAGGCTTACCATTAAACATACCAGCATATTTAAAGAGAAACAAAAAAAGCTTAAAATTTTCAAATGCACAAATTATTTAATTTTTGCACATTAAGAAAATTGAAAATTAGTTTTTCTATTGAACTGTATACAAATCTTTTCACTCACAGAATACCTGATGAATCATTTTCAAAATAAATCAAATTCAAGACGAAGCGACACAAATCAATAACGAGGATGACAAGAACTGCAGCACATATTTCGAATTAAGGCTGTGGAATCTAATACTCATAGCAACTACAGCGTAAGTCACCAAATTATTTATTACCGAAGAAACATCCACAAAATTAACTCGTAAAACCAACGATCTGTTCATTGATGAAATTCGAACAATAACCTAGCCAGCAACTGTAGCAGAAATACGGAAATTACTGATATTACCCTAATTCCACCTCGTGTAGAAGCGATACGGACAAAAAATCCTATCCGTAAATTGCAGAAGAAATCCGTCTATACATCGTAACTGATCATCCAGGCTGATCAAATGTAAATCCAGCGAAGCTCAGCCAATCCATCGATAGAGAAGAAAATTTGAGGAGAACGAAGGAATTACTGTAGTTTTGCATCATTCCACTGTTTTCGCCAGAGAAAATATGCAAACGCAAAAATGGCACCTTCAACTTATAGGGGTTTCTTGGTTTGGACGAATATTGCTTGTCCTGTTTATTTAGGAAAATATCAATATAATCAAAATTTATTAATTTTGATTTTAATATAAAAAACTCATTAATTTTATTCTTAATATAAATAATTTCAATCAATTTTGTTCTTATTATAAATAATTTTAATTAATTTTGGTCCCACCGATTAAAAAATTAATAGAAATTGCTGACTGTCGTTATAAACAATTTCAATTAATTATGATCCCACCGTTAGAAAATTAATGGAAATTGCTGACGTGAACATGACGGAGGTGACGTGACAATTGACCTGGAAAGTACACGGCGGCGAACATGTACAATTATACACAACCATATATATATTTGAGTGTATAATTATACGTAACCATGTTATTACAAGGCCATGTAGATTTCTATTTTAGTTTAGAATTTTTATTTTTTTGTTATACGTATTTTTTTTTTTTAAAAAAAATTATTTTGAATTTAAAATAGTTAATATAGTTAAAATGGACAAAAATTAATAATAAATATAATATAATTTATCAATTTTAATTCAAATATAAAAATTTATAAGATATATTATTTTGAAAGGTTTTGTCTAAAATTTTATTATTCATAAAAAATTTCTACATCCAATTACACAACAATTTTTTTTAATTTTGTATATTATGATAGTATTAAAAATTAATATATTATTTCAATACAGTAATGTGACGTTTGTAAGAGAAATTTTTTTTTGCTAAATAATAGAATTTTAAACAAAATTTTCCAAAAGAACATACTCGATAAATATTTATATTTGAACTAAAATTAATATATTTTAATTATATGATGATTATTATTGATTTCTTTTTTCATTTTAACTATATCAACTATTCTAAATTAAAAAAAAAAGTTAAAAAATATAACAAAAAATTAAAATTGTAGATCGAAACATAAAGGTACACGGCCGTGTAGAATAATACATAGTTGTGTAACAATATGATCATGTATAATTATACACTGAAATATACATGGTCATGTAACAACATAGCCGTGTATAATTGTACATGACCATGTACTTTCCAGTTATGTCCATGTCAGCAATTTCCGTTAGTTTTTTAACGGTGAGACCAAAATTGATTGAAATTGTTTATAATGGGACTAAAATTGATGAATTTTTTATATTGAGACCAAATTGATAAATTTGAATTATATTGAGATTAAAATTGATTTTTCTCCATTATTTATTAAAAGAATAAAAACAATATATATGTTTTTAATTTAATTTAAAATATGATTTACAAAATAAAATTTTGTCACTTTAACATTCTATTAACAAATTGTTTTTTAACAAATTTTCAGAATGAATGGATGAAACACTAATTAAAAATATAGGATTTTACCCAAATCTTATCACTGATAAAATATTTTTCCCAAAAATATCAAATCAAACACCTATTTTTTATTTTTTATATTATTCTAAAAATTATTTTTCATTCAAAACATCACATCAATATTTATTTATATCACATCAAACAACTATTACAATTTAAAATTTTTATTATTCAAATCTCAATTTAAAATCCAAATCCCAAAACAGACACACCCTTAGGATAACTTGGGTTCATTCCTTTTGGTATTTGGATTTTGAATTAAAATTTGAATAGTAAAAGGCAAAATATAGAGTTTGGTGCACAAAATGGAGATGAGTTGCTCCAATGCACTCCATATTTGGTGAAATGCTACCAAAAATGGTGTTGCAACGTAGCTACCGCTATTTTTGGTATTGTATTGTATTTTTTATTATTTTATTATTTTAAATTTTTGTATATAAATTCTTTTATTTCTTTTGAATTTTTTAATATTGTTTTAGAAAATTAATATTCCCTCCATCTCATATCTATATATCTATTTACTTTTTATACGAAGTTTTAAAAATATTAGTATTATATTGGGATAAAGTAGAAATAAAGGTAAAAAAAACTAAATTAACTCTATTAGTATTGTATGATATAAAAGTAATGACAGTTGTGTAATATATTGTAAATTGGAAGGATATTTGTAATGTTAGGTAGATAGTGCAATTACTAAAAAAAAGAAATTGATACTTAGTTATGGAACGGACCAAAATAGAAAAATTAATAGATTGTTAAGGGACGGAAAGAATAGTAAGTGTAAATATAAAAAATAGTTTAAAATAATATATAAAAAAATATTTTAAGTATATGTTTGGATTAAAAAATAGAGTTGTGGCTTGGAGTAAACATACGCAATTGTATTTTTCGAGTTAAAACTGCATAAAGAGAATTCCTAGTTAGAGATGGCCTAAAAATTTTGAATTGTAATAGTTGTATGATGTTATATAAATAGGTGTTGATGTGATATATTTTGAATGTAAAATTGATTTTTAGTATAATATAAAAAGTAAAATATAGATATTTGATTTAACTTTTTTTTGGGAGAAAAAATTTGATGAATAATAATTTTTTAGAAAAATCCCAAAAACAAACACAGATTATAAGTTGTAAGAATATCATTTACATTCTTTTTCATTCATTTTAATTTCTATTAATACTCTAAATTATTTTTGTACTTTTTCAATATTCATACTTCTTAATTTTGTGTCCAAAATAAACTAAAGTTACCGGACTAAAAAAGTATTACTCCCTCCGTCATCCAATTATGTGCTCATTTGACCGAGCAGAGGTTTTAAAAAAATAAATAAAAATTACTTTTTTGGATAAAAAAAAAAAGTGATATTTTGTTACTAAAAAAGGAAATGAAAATAAATTTAATGTTGAAAAAATAATACTTAGTGATAAAATCACATCACATTCTTCTTCTTTTTCTTATTTATTTATTTTTTTTAAATGATCGTAGACAATTACTTTTGACTACGACAAATCCCAACAGTGGACTGGAATGTTGAGAAAATAATACTTAGTGGTAAAATCACATAACATTCTTCCTTTCTTAAAAAAAAAATAAAAATGATTGTAGACAATTACTTTTGAGTGCGACAAATTTGATATGAAATAATTAGATTTGCATCGATGATTTTGATTTGATTATGTATACAAATCGACACAAACTTGATACGATAATAAACGAATTTTAACTCGAACTAGACACAATAATCTGATTATATTAATATTAATCTGTACATTTATTATATATTTATACTAATTTTAATTTAATACATTTTTTTTTTAGAAAAATATTAATTTAAATTGAGCGCAAAGTAAATAATATTTTGAGTAATTTCTAATACTTATTGCATATGTGTGTACAACTATTTTATTGACTTAATGACATTTAACTTTATTTTGGTTGATTATTTATTAATTTTAGTTTTAGAAAAATTTTAATGAATAAAGGAGTCAATTTCGTATTAATTGGGTTGAATTTGGTCAGACCGGGTTTATGTCGGATCATTTTAGACCTATTGCCAGTTCTACTTATCCCAACTTACACATATTTTTATATTTAAAATAATATATTAAAATTTTATTCTCTATATAAAATAACTAGCATGTGAAATTTTCAATTTTAAATAATTACAAAGTAACTATTTCATTAAATACTCTATTTTTTTACACAAATACCCTTACTTTACATCACATCATTATTTTTATACCAAAAAGTAAGAACAAAAATATCATTACACTACTTTTACCTACCCAATACTATTATTTTTTAATCTCCGTATAACATTTTAAATGATAGTAATAATCTTTTTTTTGATATTTTTAATGAAATTTTCATGAAGTAACCTACAAACAAACCGAGCAAACACTTCAAAACACAAGTAAACACAATATACAGGCTTTGTTCTTTCTATGTTTTTTTCTGGCATATTTTCCTAAAAATATTAATACACCACACAGATTCATTATTTTTATATTCGAGTCATCCATAAATGTAAGTATTATTCAACAAATTTTCTATATAATTAAGAAGTTGTATAAAATTCCAAAACACAATTAGAAACAAATCCTTACATCCTCAATAGCTATATAGCTAATAAAAGCTCATATGTATCTATGGACAAGAAAACACTTCTTCACATTTCCTAATTCATTTCACATTTCAATATGTGTCACCCAAAAACACAATAATGAATGAACCATTACATTACCTCATCTATATATTTGATGGCCACTATTTTCCAAAAACCTTGCATATTATTAGAGAACAAAAGCCTTTGCAAGTGTTGGGATCGACCCCAAACTTTATACTTTGTCAGTCGGATGGCCATTCGTCTCTTGCTTAAGGCTGGCATTATGTTCTCCGTTCGTCTCATCCGCATTTGCAGGCTTTCCCTGTCAAGTATAAGTATTTTTCATAAATTATTCGCACAATGCGAAGATAAAGAGGTCGGTAATGTTAGAGAGTGGAATAGGGGTGTTGTTACATTCAGATTTCGATAAACTGGCAAGTATTAATTTAAATTCAGATGTGGCCAAATAATATGGGATATCCCAAAGGCTTTGTTTGCACGGATATTTTTGGGAGTTTTTGTACTATTTATCGACTATAACATTTTCAAATATCTCGACTATTCTCTCAATGTTTTCCAAAACTTTCAAAACTTCTATCTTAATGGAAATTAAATGCCTTACAGATTGGGTACTCCTAAAATCATATACCAAAAACATGACTCGGCTATTTCACAGTCAAGAAAGTAGCAATATAAGAAGGAAGTTCGTCTAAGGTGCGCTGGTATTTGGTATAAAAAGGCTCCCAGAAATTTCCACTTATGTATCTTTTTCAAACATTCCAATTCATACTCGCAATAAAAGAAGTACAAGAGCGGTCTGGAAGAGCAACGGACAATCAGTTAAAATGAAAAATTAATGCAGAAGAGATAATGAGCTAAGGTGACCACACCGCTAGAGATGCATGTAGATTCCATTGTATAAAAACTCTTAATAACTTAGCTAAATTATGGATAATTAATTAATCGTACCTCGTGACTAAAAAAACAACAGAATCAGATAAAATATCCGTATGGTGATTTTGCCCGGTGATCAAACAAAGCCACAGCAGTACTCACCGATGAGGCAAAGAATTGGAATTCAAATGGCAAAATTTCGGAGGATATTACTGATGTAACCCAATACTCAACAAAATTTAAGATTACATCCAACTAGACTTCAAAATCATATGCCTTTGCAGGCAATCGTAGAATGTTCATATTTAATGATCTTTGGTAGTCACATTGGGATTTGACGAAAATTTATGGGAAATTTTAATGAACTATGGCATTAGATAACTATCACAGAAGAACAATATATAGATCAATTTTATACGACAGAAGTTTTTCACTGACCTTATTCTTGTCACGCCATCCTAATCCAAATGGTCTAGAGAGCAAACCAATCTTCCGCGTTGGAATTTCCTGTGAGGAATCCGGATTACTTTGTTGGGTGGATCTGTAAAGGACACAAGCAGAATCGCGAATGACTAGGAAGCTCGCTATATCATAAAATTTGATCAGTGTGTAATGTAGAAGAATACTGCACAGAATACCGAATGAATTAGTTCAAACTGAAATGGAATAATAAAAGATCTGTGTGCAAAAGTTCCAGTTTTGGCCCAAAAATGGTAGAATCGGAACTGAAGAATAGATCAGATCAGCAACAATCGAAAAAAAAAATGTAGATAAACATATAATATAAGTGTCACATATAAAATTATATTCATATGTAAAGGCCACAACCAAAATATATTGTATGAATTCTTCTATTATTATTACGATCATAATTTATGATAAATAAAACTAGGAATATTTATCATATAAAAGAAGTGTTGCAAAAGCAGAATATTCTATATAAGATTCAATTTTAAGACTATGGCCTAATCTGGATAGTGGATACGCCAACTCGAAAACATATATTAATATATATATATATACCGAGGAGAAGGCTGTGCTTTGCCATGTCCAGACTGGTACTGCAAGGTAGCCTCTAGCATGGACTCTGCCATGACAGCCCTCTTCTCCATGTCAGCCAGGGAAGCGGTTACTTCTTCATACCGTTCCTGTGTTAAGTTGGAACATGGCAAATGAAATCTATAGTAGGCAAAACTGAAACATATTAATCGTGTAAGAAAATTGAAGCATCAAACACCTTGCTAAATATATATTATGAAAAATTAATACCACTTAACTTTTGTATTAAAAAGTTTCACCTTCCTTATTCTTTTTCCATCAAATGTTGCAGGCAATAAAACAATACACAATATCTGAGGAAGGCACATAGAGCTAAAGCAAATGGCAAATAGGTTTCTAGCACGATTTGCATCAAATATTTTAATATGGTGATTCAAGGATCCGGAAAAATTAATAAGGTTTACACTGATTTATGTAGAAGTAACTATAGATGGCATAGTCATAATGGCGGGGATTCGGTCGGAATTCTTGCACTCAGATCAGGCAAATTTCAGATCAAAGGTTTCTGTTACCCAAACCCAACTCAAAATATCAGCTAGTTATATCACTTATATATAGATAGATATATCATATAGTAGATTAATATACAGTAGATATTTGTACAGTTCTATGATTATTAAATTAACGGTACTTCAAAAGACTTATAGTAACTCCTCATGATATTAATATTATTATGAGTGTTTAATTATAAAATTATAGAAATTCAACGTGGTTATTGTTTTTCATAACAGGTACCCAGATGCATAGTTCAGGTAGGGAAACCTACTTACCATGCAACAACTCAAATTTTCTAAAGTCTGGTTTCATTTACCCGGGCACCTTTGATATATATATCTATATATTCCAACTCATTTTCTAAAAATTTTGGGTCACTTGGGTACCTGAACCGACTTGCCTGGAAACCAACAACAGCATGTGGGCTAGTTCTAGGTTTCTCACATGGAAGCAAATGAAGATGTCATCACTTATTTAGGTTTAAATAAAAGAAGGAAACCTGAAGCACTTGAACAGTATGTCTATTTGCAGCAGCATCTTGTTCCGCACACAATCGAGCATCCTCTGTTACCTTCTGCTCTTGTTCTACCCTCATTAAGATCTGTAAGAGAAAACAAAGAGACAATTTCCATGATTGAAAACTAAAAAATGAATGAAGTCACAAGAGATTGTTACTACATTTACAGGAATATTTGCCTAGCATTTTCCCGTCAATGCTAAACTTTGCAATTATGCAATATCTGGAACGTAATTTTAACAGATTGTTACAGGAATATTACCTGAAGCATGGCATTTTCTTGCTCCTGCTTATCAGCAAGGGCTTGCTTAAGCTCCTCAACATTTCGCTCGAGCTGCTCAACCTAAAGCCACACACAATAAAAATATATGTGCTCGTCCATGAGACTTTATAATAAAAAAGTGAATAAAGCATTCAGCATATCTCAACTCGTCATTAACCATATGAAATTATGAACAAAACTGCATCTATGTTTTTGACACAAATTTTAAGAGAATCCTATACAGTGACATTCATAATGGCAGTAACTGCATTCTAAAGAGGAAAGATCTAGGAGAAAATTCGCATATTAGACTAGTTGTAGGTCAACCATTAAACGTTAAGCATATACAATCACAATGACAAGATTGAGAAGTTAGATCTTTAAAGGAAATCTCTAAAGTAAATTAATAATGGAAAAAGAACAAATAGCGAGTGCACCATTGCTCAAATTAATAATATTACAAAAGCACAACAGTTGAGTATACAAATCAAACAGTTAAATGAGTGTCTTAGATACCCTTGCACTTAATTGTCGCCGATTATCATGTTTAACCATCTCCATCAATGCTGTTTCAAGTTCCTCCGCTCTGTAGAAGAAAAATCGAAGCCGATAACTATGAATGAGGTATATCTACAATAGACTGTAGAAACATAAATGCTGTTGAGTTTTATATTTCAATAGCCTGAAAGTGAAACTATTTGAAAGAATGTAGAGGCACAAACTAGGAAAGTTGGAAATCTTGCTGCTAAATTCTACTACCAGAAGTAATTGCTAGCAGTAATCCACAAAAGATTTACTCAAAAACAATTATTAGAACACTGACCTTAGCTCAGATGATCTTTTATCATCAATCAGTTTGCAGAGCTCAACCTTAAGCCACACCACCTGAATGATACCGATGAGACAAAATTAAATGTTTGATAAGATAAGAACTTACTTTAATACACCAAAAAATATAAAGAACAAGCAATTTAGGCACACCCTATGAAATAGAAGTGCTGAACGTTTACTTTAGTTGACAGATATAAAAAATAAAAAAAAATAAAAAAGAACAATGATTTTAGTTTTAAGTTTTATAACAGTGTTCAATAAATTAATATCTGCTTATAAAGTCATCAAAAGATCAGAAAGATTATCAAAACTGGAGATATATTTTCGATGCTTTTCAAAGTCCACACATTATGATATTAAAATGGTGTTAAATTGAGGATTAAACTCAATAAGATAAACTAAAAATTCAAGGAAATTAACAAGAAGATAAAGGTCAAAAGCTCCAAGAAATTATAAATAGACTTAATTACAATAGGTGGAGGAAATCAAAGATAAGAAGTAAATAATAATTGGCACAGTGTGTAGGATTAAAAAGTATCTGATGGCTACCTGTTCTTCAAGATCTTTGGCAGAGTCAATCTCCGGAGTACCATTCATGCTCATATATAAACCATCATTATCAGATGACGAATCCACATGAGAGACATTGCCATTTGTCGGTGATTCTGTTTGTTCATGTTTAGCAGTTCCTATAATTGATAAATCAGGAGACTTTTTGAAACTATAAAACTTGGAAGCTAGACCATGGGAATCTTTCCAAGCTTTAGCTTCCATAGTTCTTTCTTTCAATGCTTCCCTGACCGGAGGTCGGTGCTTATTCCTTAGTTCTTCCAATTGTGATTCCTGAACATTTTGGAAACCCATGCAAGCAGTGAAGACAAGTTGACTGCTATCAAAGGTGGAACCAGCTAGCGATTGCAGCAGTGTGATTGCATCACCAGCATCCTTAGTTGTAACCAATGCAGGTCCTGTATGAAACTGAACCACATAAAAGTTTCATCCAACGTGTAAATATAATGCCAGATTTTGATTGATGCAGTACCATATAACTCCAAAAGAGCAAGTGCTGCCCGGAATAGCATTACACGACTCCCTTCAAAAAGAAGCACATCCCAGACCCTAAGAACTGAAAGCAGATTAAATTAATAAACTTTCTAAAGCTTTTTGGTTATGAAATATAATCCAACACCTTGTAAAAGAATAAGTGCACCGTAACTTCTAAAATGGCCAACTAGGGGGGGAAAAAAGTTCTACAGATACCACTCCTGTTCCAAGCTGAAGTCATCATTATTTCTAAATGAGTGACTACTTTTCTAGGTGCTAGCTCTAGCATAATTAATAAGTACAAGTTGCCCTACGGGTATAAACCTACAGTGGCGGCTGGATCATGCATCTTCAAGCTTGGGCTCAAATCATCTCATGTTCGAGTTTGAGTTTGAGTTTGAGCTTGAGAATGCTTGATTATACTCGATTGGGTACTTGCCAAGCAATTGATGTTGCGCATACCCGATATTAAAAACTAACATCAAACAAACTTGTACAAAATCTGACTCAACAAAATAATAACATCTAACAGAGGTCAAGCTTGAATGGCTTTGCCAGTAAACCAGCCCTACGGCCAACTTTATAAAATAAAATAAAATTACAATCTTAAAAGAATGAAACATGGCACTTAAATTAAGCATTGGCAGACCGATATTAAGAAACTGACCACTTTCCCATGGAAGCATATTCATATATATAGAGAGGAACCATGGCCCAGTCACCCATGCTACCTGTACTCCCAGGTAATCCAGATGGTTTACTGTGGCACAAGCAAAGCCAATGAAGAGCAAATAAATAATTGAGTGAAAGTGTCTTTTTAATGAGTGTATAAGGAAAAGACATGTGTAACTGTGTAAGGAACCAACCCAATTTAGGAAATCTTTCACGCACCAATTCCTCAAGAACAAGTTGGTCAACCTTCCAAGAGAAATTCAAAGACAAGAGATATTAGTAGTATCATGTCATTTTCCAAATATTACCCCGAAAAGGTAGAATAAATTGGATAATTTTGGTTTATACTTCTATAAGCAACGACGAGTAAGGAAATTCCAAGAATACCTGAGATTCTATCATTTCTTCTGTATAATATCCATCAAAATAGTCATCCAGAATGCCGACTAAAGTCCTGGAAAGAAATAATAATTTAGATTCTCTTTAGTCCAATAACTAAAAATAAGTTTTGAATGAGTAAGGAATTATTCATTTTTACCAGAAGGCAGAAGGTAGAGGCAACAATTATCACATTTTCATAAATTAGCTTGACACTATAAATTCGTAGAATAGGACAATCAGTATATAGGATAGCTTTACCCACCAAAATGCATTTTCCTCTGGCATGAGGAGCAACAACAAGCCCGCAAAGAAATTCATGGCCTGTATCAATGAGAAGATTAATTTATTTATCACAAGAGAACTTAGCAAACAGAAAAAATTTATCCCATAAGAATAATTGTAGGCGAAGACACATGAAATAACTTTAACAGAGATATGAAGCTACAAGGCATATTGAAAGTGGCTGAACAGTCAAGCCTTAAGACAGCAATTAATGTGGAAAGAATCTCTCTTCAAACTAAAAGTACCTGGCAATAGCCAACGGAAGGATTATGGCGAGCATAAGCAGTAAGTATACGTCTCAAGGCATTTCTACCATCTTCATCCAAAGCAGGATGGCCGGGAAAAGTACGGGGCAAATCCTTTTAGAAGAAACAAATTAGGAATTTCTCAAATTATATATCCACAAAAGTTACATAGTTAACTAAAGAATGAAAAACCTTCTCAATCTGGATTTTCCATTTTTCAGGAACACCCACAGACTCATGATTTTCCTCTTGACTATTGTCATCCAGTGCCCTTGTTTTATTTTCTAACTTACTTTCCGGAGCAAGCAAATTGTCATAGTACTTCTCCACACGTCGAACTCTAGCACCAACAAAGGCTTGCCATAGCTGTAATATCATGAGACTAACATAAATGGTACGCACAAAAATAATATGAGCCAATACTAAATGCAATGATATTTAATATACCTCGCCCCTTAATGCCATGGGAACCCCATCACGAACAAGACATTCCAGTTCATCTTTCAAGGGAGGTAGAGATTCTGGATTAGTAGCATCGACCGCCATTCTTGTATCTATAGCAGGGGCGCCATCTGCTGATGGAATGTCATGAGGGGAATCTGATTCTGATCTCTCCAAATCATAGAATTCTTCATCAGAGTCTTCATCAGATGCCCCTTTTCCAGGTCTAGCCTCTTCAATTGGAGAGAGTGACTTTTTCATATCACCACCGGTCCCATTTAGAACAGGGTTAGCCTTTTTTTTAACACGGGAACTCATCATATCCTCTATTCTACAAAGAGATGGTCTAATATCCTTCCACATTTGGGCTTGTTGAATATTGGCTTCTGCACTATTCCTTTCACTCCAGTTCTTGGGATTCTTCTTACTAAAATCTTCAGCTTCAGAACCTTTCTTGTTGTTATGATTTCCAGGTGCTGATTCAATATTTGACTTAACATTATTATTATTTGACGATTCGAACCCATCCAATTGAGCAGATCCACATTGCCTTTCCAAGAAGTCCTTCCACCTATCAGATCTCTCCTCCTCTTCTTCCTAAAAGCACATCAGATACAAGTCACGTATACTGTTGTTAACTACAAACTTAAAACAAGAAATAGCCATTCTTTTCCACAATCTTTTCAGAACCTTGTATATATTTGCATATTCTCGGTATCTTTGCAGGTGCTGAGGTCTCACTGCAAACCCATAAGCATCCCTGGTCGTGCAAGCTCAAGTATCAAATACAGAACTCCAGGGCATTTGATGCAAAATTAACATTTTCCCTTATTTACATAATTATAAAAATAAAAAATAAAAAAATTCAATAATTATTCAATTCACTATACCCTATTCAAGTCCAAATTCAAATCAAATGTATACACATTGATTTAGCTCTGTGTTTTACACCTTAAAACTAACCACAAATCATATAATAGCCAATCATATAATTCTATAATACATTCCAAAAAACACTCCAAAAAATCGCACAAGAAACAATACTTAAAACACCTAATCCACCTAACATGACATAAAATTAACATTTTCTCTTCAAACAAATATTATAAATTCAACATTTCAATTATCATAAGCTTAGTTCTACCTCAACTTCTTCATACTCATGACTAAATTAACCTATCATGTATAAGTTAATAATAATTCACCATTTTTTACTGTTCAAATCCACAAGAACCTGTGATATGGCGCACGCTGTATACACTTCAAATATCCATCCATCCATACATATATATATATATATATATCCAAACTAGTGTTTTCTTCTTGCTATCAAAACAGTCTCTTTCAGACTGTTAGCAGAACCCTACGATCATCAACCAATCCACAAACACATAAAACCGACTTCAAAACCCCTCGTTGATGGCGACGGTCAAATCTAAGTATCAAAATATAGCAAATGCAAAAAATCATAGAACTATCATACGGAATGCCAAACCTCTTATGATCCACAGAAACTACAGACGCCGGATTCAGGACCTCCGCGGCAGCCCCTTTGGCCTCCATTTCGAATCCAACGAAACAGCAAAAGTATAATCAACTAAAAGATGTTTTACCAAACCAGAACGAGCTGGATTCATCCATCGACAGCCTTCCCGCCGGTTCCCTCTTCGATAGACCCCAAAAGCCAAAACCGTTGGAATCGATTTCTGAGCGGCCAGTCAAAGTCGGAAACTACTCAGGCACAGTCGTGGGCAGTCCACGGCAGCAGCTGGGGATGGATGGATGGAACCATGCTTGCCATGGGAAGTGGGAGTGAAATCCGGCGAAATCGAAGCGCAGAGAGGTTGTGGGTAGACGTCGTGAGAGAGAGAAAGAGATCTGAGTTGAATAACGAGCGAACTTTGCCTCCCCCACAGTGTTTCACATTTGAAAGTTTGTAGGAAACACTACACGGCCTATTTAAGGCACCAATTTTGGCTTTGATTTTGCTCACTATTATATGCTCCCTCGGTCCAAACTGACATTTGCCAATTTGTAGTGGATTAAGAAATAATATTCGTAAGCTGTGAGGGTACATAAAATTAAAAAATATTTATATATATATATTTTTTATTTTTTTTTAATTTATCATGATATAATAATTAATATTTAAATATCAATTCTTTAGAAAAAGAAAGTAAATGAAATATTCAGAGCCGGATAGAAGTAGTAGTATTTTATTATTTAGTGGAAGTGTGTAAGAGGTTTTGATATTTTTGCACTTGAACTTTATGAAAAAAAATTAATTGTATGTGTAATAGTATATTTATAATTTAGATAAAAGTTATAAGTATTTTTATATTAATGTATAAAAAATATATAATTTAAAATGAGACGGACAAAAATAACAAAGATGATACTAGAGTTAGACGAAAGGAGTACTACCATTTTGGAAGTAAGTGCTTTCGGAAATAAGCGCTTTCAATTGTCATTCTAATAGACGATACAAAATAGTTTTTTGCAAAAAGTTAAAAAAGTATAAATTAAAAAAAATCAAAAATCAAAAGGTTATTTCAAAAAATAAAAAAATTAAATATTTAATTAAAAATAATATATTTTATATTTTGGATACAATTTCTTATATCACGTATTAAAAATCAATCCATATTGCATACATTTTTTATTAACTTTACAACTATAACTTGTTGATTACTTTTTCCCACGAATTAGTTATCTTCAACAAAAATTAAAAAAATATAATTAAATATTATTTAAAAAATTTTAAAATTTTAAAATTTTAAATTTAACATAAATAATCTATAAATATATATATATTGATTTTTTAAAATAGTAAGTCGTATGTTTCAATGATTAATATTTAAAATAAAAATATTATTAGATAATAAAAATATATTGAAATATATATAAATAAATAAATAATTTATATATATCATTTAATAAAAATATATAGAATTATTGTGACTCTTATAAAATAATAAAAGTAATGTATTTGAAAGTAATTAATATAACAAGTAAAAAAAAAATAATTTAAATATTAAAATGAATATGATGTCGTGAGATAAATAAAAAAAATAATAAAATAGTGACATGCACCGAATGCTCTAAATGCATAAAATTTGATATATATTATTTTTGACACATACATAGGAGTATTAAAATATGCTTAAAAAGAAAGTTCGTCCAAACATTTGTTTTAATTATGTGCAAATAAATAAATTTTAAATATTACTAGTAATTTTAATAAAATAGTAAAATTAAATATTGATCCGTTTATTTCATAATTTATAAAATAATAAAGCTAAATTGCACAAAATTTATCCGTGATTTCATAAAATTGCACCAAATTTCCCGTACTTCTAAAACTGCGTCAAACTCCCTCGTGGTTTCATAAATTTTGCGTCTAACCCTCTTAGTGGTCTTTATTTAAGGATATTTGACCTAAATGCGCTTAAACTCTATTATAAACCCCTAAAATTACATATATATATATATATATATATTTTTATATTTATCCTAAAAAATAGTAAATATACCCAAAAATAGTTATTTTTCTCGAGTTTTAATAGTTTATTTTTACTAATTTTTTAGTCTAAATATATAAAAAAATAAATATATTTGTAATTTTAGTGGTTTGAGCGAATTTAAATCAAATTCAGTTAAATAAGGACCGTCGAGGGGATTAGACGCAAAATTTATGAAACCACGAGGGAATTTAACGAGTTTTAGAAGTACGGAGGATTTGGTGCAATTTCATGAAATCACAAGTAAATTTTGTGCAATTTAGCCTAATAATAATAAAAATATATAATTTTATATAAAAATAAAAAAGAAATTCAAATATGGCTAATTAGAACCTAACCATTTCTCAAAAAATAAATTAATGAAACAATGAATACTACACTACCCTGTCACAAAAAAATTATATTTGTCACTGTTTTCAATATATGGGCAAAAATTGAACTAACAAAACAATATAACCATATAATAGCCACATTTTTAAAAAAAATAAAATAAAATAGTGCAATAAATAATAATAATAATAATAACAATAATAGCCAAAATTTTTGCCATTGATCAATTTTATTGCCTCAAAATTGAACATTAATAGGCATAATAATAATAATAATAATAATAATAAATCATAAATCAAACTCTGTTTTCCTCACCACTGCAACTTACCCTCTCCTGTTTCATATGCTCCCTCTCTTCTCTTCCTCTGCATAATCACCAACACTGAGAGCTTCTGTAATGACTTTTTTGCCCCTAATGCCAACTCTCTAAATACCTCCATGGCTTTTCTTTTTTTCTTCTTGCTCAGCTCGTCGGTCGACGGGAATTGTACTGATCGATAGATAGAGGTGCACGTCTCTAAAACTGGCAACATCACTATATGTAGCTATCATCTCCTGCAGCGATTGTCCGGACCGGTCTCTTGGAAGAAGAGCTTCGATTGATAAAATGGGAGTTTAGGAAAAGCACGATAACGGTTATGTCGTCATGGAAATGTCTCCTCACTCCCCGGTCGATTTTCCTCAGGTCGGAGTATCTCATCTCCCGTTTCTTGGCAGCCGCGTGGAGTGCTGCTTGGATGAGATTCTTGGCTATGCCCTGAGAAATTGATCGGAGACTCATCATGTACAGAAAATCTGAATGTTATACTATGCATTGAAAAACAAAACAACATAACACATCTGTAGTTTGGAAAGTTTGCACCATGGTCTTCGTATTTTAGAAAATATTGTAAAGAATCCTCTAAAATTTCGTCAAACTAACACATCTATAGTTTGAAAAGTTTGCACCATAGTCCTCATATTTAAAAAATATTGCATAGAATTCCCTAAAATTTCGTGAAACTAACACATATATAGTTTGAAAAGTTTGCACCATAGCCTTCATATCTTCTTGGATAGTATTCCACATAATCCACTAAAATTTCGTGAAACTAACACATCTGTAGTTTGAAAAGTTTGCACCATAGTCCTCATATCTTCTTAGATAGTATTGCACATAATCCACTAAAATTTCGTGAAACTAACACATCTAGTTTGAACAGTTTGCACTCTAGTCCTCATATTTTAGAAAATATTGCACAGAATCACCTAAAATGTCGTGAGACTCCATCATGTTTTCGAAAAGTGTTGCACAAATTCTCCTAAAAAGAGATTCTGGGCAATGTTTTCTTAACAAACAAGAGAACTTAATATCATTTCTAAATCATGTCATAGAACAATATAGGAGATGAGATGCTCCGACCCGAAAAGCATAATATTGCCCCGAAAAACATACCGTCATTGTTTTATATACAGCCTCACCTTCTAATAATTTTGAAAATTTCAAATTCATAAAACATGGCACAAATATTTCTATTGTGATAAATGTGTACAAAAATGGTCCATCCAATACTTCCTATAGTTCTCCTGGCAATGAATTTCGAGTTACCATGTGTATTACCGGGCATAAATAAACCACATTTTGCATTCCAGTGCATGATATTGAAAGAAACGGCTAGAAAACCATCAAACAAACCAATCGAGACTTAATGTAGTGATCAGAGTGCTATAAAAACGAAGCTACCAAGCCATATATTCTATACCAATTCATATTATGCATTTTTAAAAATAAAAGAGCAAAAATCATTGCAATTCAAATAAACAAACACAGTTTCACATTTTAATGAGATTTTCGAGTACGTACGCTGTGGGGAGAGCTGTGGACAAGCTCAACAGCCTCTTGGTTGCTGAGGTGTTCCCATAGCCCGTCTGATGCAAATATAAGGAACTGATCATCGGGATGGATTTTGTGTACATGAACCGATGGCTCTGCTGAAAGGATTGGTTCTTGAAAATGTCCCGGGAATCGGAACCTTGGTAACAAAGGCGCCTTATTGAACTCAGGCTTCTTCAAATAAGCATCGCCTATTGATCTCGAAACCTAAAAAAGGGGGAAAAGATCAAAATCAGAATCAATATCTGAGATAGAACATAAAAATAGGTAAAATTGCGCGCGCACACACATGGGCTGTAAGGTTTACTATGCTAAGCTTATATCGGGACACGAACTGACCTGAATAATTCCCTTGACACGCCAAACATTGTGCTTTAGGACAACAATCTGAGGATCCTCGGGATGCAATGAGTGCAATTCATCTCGAATGGATTGCAAACTTGCATTGTGCTCGGTTGATAGTTGGATAGCTTTGATTGGTTTCGTCACGCCTTCCTTTTTCCCCAACACCACTCGAGAATCTCCTGCATTTCCAACGTACACCAATCCATTGCATACAATGCCGACCAAACAACACGATCCCACGGAAGCCAGATGTGGTTTTGTTTCCCACTTCTGTTTTACAGTCGAAAGAAATTCTTCTTCGGTTGCCAAATAAGCATTTTTTATGACGTCGCTTGAGACTTCTTGACATTCCGATGTAATCTCTGCATCACAAAATGAGGTAGTAAGAAACTGCAACAAGGCCTATAATAATCTCGGTATGCATTTGAAATCGCAAAAGATCACACCATGTCCATTTATCAAAGTTAAAGAAAAACAAAAACTGATTTGAGACAATGTAAATTTCTTTCAACAACTCAAATTTGGCTCACATTGAACTTCATCAAAATGAAAAAGATTTGGATCAAGCCTTACCCTGAGCAAGTCACCCTCAACAAGAGCCAGACTCTTCGGGCACAACCCAGGTCGAATCCAAATTAATTTGGATGTACTAGAACACCGGATGACTAGATCAAAAGAAAAGAAATACAAGATTTCCGTCTACCCATGTCCTAAAAAACAAAAATGAAAATCATATAGACCATCCTAACAACGAAGATATTATAGATTCAAAATACCCAAATCTTCTCATCTATTGTTAATTTAAATTCTTTCCTACAATCTCGTTAAAAACTACATGTGGAAGGAGTGCGCCAAATGTTAACCAAAGACAGAGAAAATGAACATACTAAAGTAGCAATCCAATAAACAAACACATAAACCATCAAAAACCAATGAGAATCAAAGCCAAAACACATTATGATAACAAGTTTTAACACAAATAATGAATGCATTCCTTGAAGGAGTAGAACCATACTTTTAACATTTTCAAAAAGGCTATAGTTTATAAACCGAGAAGCTTCCGGACCAGCATGACCATCATAAATCCCAACAAAAGTGCCATTTGTAGAACCCAACAATCCCGATTCAATCTGGCTTTGATCTTCCAATACATTATTAGCTTGAACTACAGCCATCGAATATTCCCCATGGCTATGGTACCCCATATCTTTGTACCAAAATAAACCCTCCGACCGACCCTTTTCATCGCCAGCTTTGATGCTGCAGCCATGGCTTCCAGTGACATCCACAGAAGACCCCGTCACCCCCCAGCAAGGAGACATAAAATTTTTCCATCCAAGGCGCACCATTATAACTAATCACAAGCCAAAATGAATCTCAATCCGATCAATCCACTGAAATTTCCCAGCTTCTCTAACCCTAATTCCAAAACATCAATTCAAAAATTCAATTTGTTTATGACAATCAAAGAACACAAACTAACAGATCAATCAGCAACCATTCAACAATAAAAATGAAGTATTAAAACGCCCAAACCAATACACATCCAGATTTGTTCATCCTTTTTAACCCTAATTTAGAAACCAACAATCTTATAAGTAATCCCGAATCAGATACAACACCGATCTCGATTCCAGAAATGATTAGCACAAAACATCAAACAATTTACAAATCCAACCACAAATTCACCCAAAAGAAAAGGGAAATGAATAAGTAAATACAAATCTGTGTAAGATTATTCAAATACATTACAGATCTATTACAATTGGGATCAACAATCGAAGATCCTTCAGTACAATGTATATTCCTGCTGATCGAGAAATTCTGACAATTTTAAGAGAGCGGAAGAAAACCAAAGGGCGTTTCTATGTGCCCTTCGATCAAGAAAAAAGAGGACAAACAGCAAAATGATTATCGCTGGATTTTATTTATATAAATGAAAAATAAAAAATAAAAAATAAAACATAAAAATGAAAAGGGCTGATTTGGGTCTCCCGAATTTGTGTAGAAATCAAATTTATAGGGAAAATAATCGTAATGAAGGTTGGCAATTTGAACAGGAAAATTAAAACAAACAAGCCAACTTTTTAGGCATGGTTTACTCATCACTTTACCTTCATTTTTTTTACTGCTATATAAGAATACTAGTAGGAGCCTTGCTATGCACGGCACAAACGATAATTTTTTTTTCGCAAAATATCGTATTAAAATATATTTAAAAAATATTTAAAATAATTGTTGCTATTTAAAATTAGAGTTGGTAAAAATTAATTCGACACGATCCAACACGAAATAATTGGATTTTGGTCAAAGATTTTAACCCGATTATGTATACGGGTTGACACGAACCCGACATGATAGTAAACGAGTCGGGTTAGAGTTGAGGCTCTCAACTCAAATCCGACACGATAACTCGATTATAATATATTAATATTTATTAATATATTCATTATATATGCAAAATAATCATAATTTAATAATTTTTTCATAAATTAATTTAAACTAAATTCAATTTTAAATAATTCAACCTAATTTACGCTCAAACCAATAAAAACTAACAACACAATAAAAAATTATTTAATTTAAATCAAGAAATTCGACTTAATTATGTATACGGGTCAACACGAGTCAACCCGAACCCGTCATGATAATAAACGGGTTAACCCGAACCCGACACAATAATAAACGAGTCGGATTAAGATTGAATAATTTAACCCGTTTAAAGTATTCAACCCAACACGAATCGACCCAATATCAGCTCCATTTAAAATAGTGAATATATAGAATTTAACTATAAAGATGGTCTAAATAAATTAATACATTAAAAAAATATAATTAAAAAAATGAATTTAATTGTGTTAAACAATTCATAAAGTTCCTAATATTTCTTTTTTTAAGTTGTCATGACAGTTATCAAATCAACATTTCTGTTTTTATTATACATATGTATAAATTTGATCATAAACAAATTAATTGATTTGCTCTGTGTTGCAAACCCAAAATTTTATTAGTATATTACTATTGTTTTATTATTATATTATTATTATTTTTATTTTAATTGTAATTCAATTTACATATTTTTTTTACTCTCTATATAATATTAATTACTAAAATTTGAATAAAAAACTTTTATAAGAAGCAGTTTTGGTATTGATTGGATTACAAATTTGTTCAATCATCATAGATAATAAAAATATACAGTCATGCTGCTATTTTTTTAATAATATACTCCATCGGTCCACCTCTAAGTTACATTTACGGTGAGTTGATATTTGAAATATTAATTATTAGCTGTACAAATTAAGAAAAAATTATTAAAATTATATAAAGTTTTTCTATTATTATTTGCTAAATTTATACTTCCTCCGTCTCCGATCAAATGACCCTTTGGTTAACGATACAATATTTTAGGTAATGTATATTATTATATTATTTTTTACTATGAATAATGTTGTTGGTATTTTAAATATTTTTAACATTATTCCCAATAAAATACTATATATAATATAGATATCATTTTGTAGATAATAAAATATTATATAATATAAATGAATATAGAAATGGTAAATTGATTTTTTTAGTGACGTAATTGGAACTATTTATCATTTTAATCATATAACTAGAGATTGTATTAAAATAGTTTAGTAAGTTAAAAAAATTCACAATTTAGTCCTTAATGTCTATGTGACACCCGCGTGGCATGTTGACGGACACGTGTCAGTAATGTCAGCGCCACGGACACGTGTCCGCTATTTAGATTATTTTTATTTTTATTTTTTAAAATAAAAAATTTGCAAATTTAAAAATAAAAAATATAAAAATTAAATTAAATTTTAAATTTTAAATCATGAGAACTTTAATAATTTATATATTAGTAGTATATATATTTTTAATTATAATATTTTAATTTTTAAACAATAAAATTAAAAAAATAAAAATTATCAACGTGTCAGCCACATAATGCCGATCTGGTCGACACATGTCCGTCAACCTGCCACGCCGATGCCACATAGGTATTGGGGACTAAATTGAGAAAAATTTTCACTTAAGAGACTATTTTAAGACAACCATCAGTTACATACTAAAATGATAAAAAAGTCAATTACGAGACTAAAAAAATAGTTACCTCTAAAAAAAAAAATACTTATTTATTTATAATTAAATTCAAAATAATTTGATAAAAAATATTCCCTCCGTCCACAAACTAATGTCTTACTTTTTTATTTGGGACGCCCAACAACTATTGTCATATTTCTTTTTTTAAACACAAATTTTATATTTTTACCCCCAATTCATTTATTATTTTTAATTTCTACCACACAATTAAAGACAAATTTGTCAATTCATAACAAAAAGACAATCACCTAAAAAATCGTGCAAATATACTTTATGACAATAGAAATTGGACGGAAGGAGTACTTGTTTATTGACTAGAGATATAAAAATAATAAGATTTTAAGTGGGTACCATGGTTATAAATTTAATGAAATTGATTTATATTTGTTATGTATGTTTAAAATAAATAAATTTACTAAAAAAAATATATCTTTTATTGGAAAAAAAATAGATCATTTATACCTGGAAAAGAATATAATCTATTTATAATAAGAAAAATTAGCTATTACTCCTTCCGTCCAATTTTTATTATCCTAAAGTATATTTGTACGATTTTTTAAGTGATTATCTTTTTGTTATGAATTAAAAAATTTGTCATTAATTGTATGGTAGATATTAAAAGTAATAAATGAATGGAGGGTAAAAATATAAAATTTATGTTTAAAAAATGAAATAGGACAATAGTTGTTGGACGTCCCAAATAGAAAAATAGGACATTAGTTTGTGGACGGAAGGAGTATAATATTATTGTTTTTACTTTAATACATAATAATTATTTTTTTCACTATTTTTTACTTATTATTTTTATCAACTTTTAAATATATTTTTCATTATACATACCCCTAATTTATTATATATACTCCTTCCGTCTCATATTTATCTATCCGATTATTTTTTGCACAAAATTTTTGAAATATTAGTATTATATAGCAGAAACATGAATAATTTATTAAAGGATGAAAGAAATATATATTTTAAATCAATTTTAATTTATTAAAATATAAAATTTAATGAAATTTTGTTATAATTAGAATTTGTAAAAATTATTTAATGAAATTTTGTTATAATTAAAAATTATAAAAATCTCACACATATATATATATATATATTGATCTATATTTAAAGCATCTGAGTGTTACTTCCTCTATTCTAAAATAATAATTTTATTTTCATTTTTTATTTTTCTTTAGTTTTAAAACAATAGTCTCATTTGTATAAATAAACATATCATAATAAAACTTCAATTATTTTTTCATTCTTATTATAAAAATTTCACTACTTTTAATACAACTACACTCGCAATGTTTAAAAAAATTTTTTACTTATATTTTTTACTAATTATCAATATAATATTATTTGCAATTTGGTCCAATCAGACCAAAATTGAAATAAAAAATTATTTTATTTTTTAATAAAATAAATAATACCCATGTCACTCGTATCCATGTCACTCGCCGCCGAGAAGCCATGTAATGTTACATGTCAGCACAAACAATGTCCACGTCCTCAACAGGATGTCCATGCAGGAGCACGTGACTGACACGTGATTTTTTTCGACGCCGGAAGACAAAAATAAGGCTAGTGAAAGACATATTGTCCTATTTTGTAAAATAAAAAAAGTATGCCTATTTTGGGATGAATAAAAATAAAAAATAATATATTTCTTATGAAACGGAGGGAGTATTATTTCCTTTAAAGTAAACATCGAAAATTACTTGGTAAATAAATTTAAGGAAAAATTACTCTTTCGTTCGATAAAACTATATAGATTTGGTTTGAAACAGAGACTAAAATTATTATATTTTAAAATTAAAACATGGTAGATAAAAGTAAAGTGAAAGTATTGTAGAAAAATTGTGCATAAATTTAACGAAAAAGAAAAATGACATATTTTTTTGACGGAAGGAAAGATTATTTTACTTTCTTTATTTATATTGTTCTTATATTTTTACTATTTTCTATAAAAAAAAAATTTATATATTATTTTTATTAGTGAAATATTATTCAAATTACTATTCAAATAATACTATAATAAAATTGAAACCTAATTCCAAATAAAATGAGGTAAACTTTTTTAATATAATTATTTTATTCAATTATTTAGTAAAATTAGTTATAGTTTTTCGAGTTAGTTTTTTATCCCAATTTAAACGGATTACTGTAAATTAAATTTGAAAAATTTTCAAAATCGATTAATGGATGAGTAGAAAAGCTACGGACATCCCACATTGGAATGGAAACACAACTTGATCGTGTTTATATAATTATGACATTAATCTAACGATTATGGCCGAAGGTTACCGGAAATGGAAGCATTTTGCGACACTACACAATAGTTTTGTATCATACCATTCGTCCCGCATTTACGGTTTTAAAAGATTTTTATAATAAATTAAGAAAAAATAATATTATGTTATCGAATGATTTGTGTAAAATGAAAATGTTTTATATGTCATTAGGTTTAGTAAAATTAAAAGTGATGTGAAAGATAATATTTGGATAAATAAAAATAAGAATAGGATAAATTGATATGGTCTACATAGACTATAAATAAAAGATTGACTATCTAAGTGAAAAAAATTAAATGAAAAGCGAGACAATAGAAATCGGACGAATAATATATATATATATATATATATTCACATCAAATATTATTTAAATAAAACTCTGAACTTTCAAATTCAATCTAAACTTCAAAAATTTGGATCATTCCATATTGTTTAAGCTATTGACTTTTGATTTTTCGCAACTCAACCATGCTTATTTCGAGTTTATTCGATCTGTCGGAAAATCTTCCGATCACTTTAAAGCCACATCTAATATCCGCAACATGAATATAGGCTTCAATCCAACTTCTTACTTAAATGAAGTGTAATAAAATAAATTACACTTGTCAACATTTATCAATGAGGCTGAAAAGAACGTGTTACACTGAGAGTTGAG